ACAGCGGCGTACTGGAAGGTGAGGAGGGGCAGCTCCCGTTTCTCGTGTAATATACCTGTTCTGACACTGTCGCGCGGTGCATTATTTAGATGGGAATCTACTCGACACGCTTCATAGGCCCTCAGTCCTGAAATTGCGCATTTAAAGTTTGTGAACGGCAGCTACAGCCCGTACACCTATATACTCACGCTTTATCTGCGTGTTACTCGGTAAATCTAACATGCTTCATGTGTCACAACCTGTTGCGCTTTGCTTATAGACATTTTCTGGGGAAGATCGAAGAAGGCGCGCACTGTTTTATCTAAACAAACGATACGAAATCGCCCCTTTGCCAAATGTTCAAGCTATTCCTGGTGCTTTTGCATTTTCACGCAGTCCAACTGGCTTTGGCTGCTACAGCGTAGTATACAATGCTGCTGAGCGCTAGCTCAATGATTCCTTAACCCCCCGTCAAGTCATAAACTACTTTTAAAATTTGATTTTCTTCTCGCTTTCGCCTCACCTAGCATGTTATGGATTTAAAGACCAAGAATGTTATTCAAATTGATTAGAAACACACGCAAAAGTGTCTTTATTTTAATAGCTGTCTACTTGGACGTCCATATCCGATGCAAACGTCCGAAAACGGTATCGACAGCCCTTGTTCGGGGGTGGGAGCAGTGGTATAATGCTAGTGGCAACTTTTTTACATCACTTTGATATGATGAAGCCATCGGATCGTACACCAGCCCTGTTGCAGTGACAAGCTGTACCATGATGCTACACCAGTGAACACCGTTGCAATTAAGTGGGATCAGGACCAATTCATCCGATAGGCCAAAAAACAATTCGGCTAGGTCCTCAGCAGTAATCCCAACAGTCCCATTAAACACAACTCCAATGCCCCCCGTATTGATAATTACAATGTCTGCTCAATTTCCAAAGAAGTAAATTAACAGGTCCGTCACTAAGCGAACCATTTCCAAATACGTCAATGTACTCCATTTGTATAGTAAAAACCAATATTTGCGCTCATCAGTTTGTTTGATGGTTTAGCAATATTAAGATGATAGGTGAGTATCTTACCTTGAGTGACGACAGGGGGAGGCTTTTCAAGCGCTCCTCGACGCCAGTATCTCTCGTTACCTTGAAGTGAGGGGAGACGACGATAGAGAAGTCGATACCTTGGATCCATAAAAGCGCCTTCTTGATATCTTTGACAGCCGACATGGCAGTGTGCCACTTCTTCATGATGTTGACGGTCGTCGTGGACAATGTTCCAACGCCCTCGATTTTCAGTGCGATATCCTTTTCAGCTAGACTTTTAGTTTTTCCTTAGAGCGAGGTGACCTTTTGAGAGCAGCGCCTAATAATATCCCTTGGCAAGATCTTGCTAATTTTATCAGGGAACAATAGCGAGCTGGCCGGCACCTTGTTTAGACGGACTGCAGTAATTCTTGGGGTTTTCTCAAAATAAAAACTTTTGAAGCTTTTTAAAAATTGTCTTGATTCGTATGTCGGAAGTCATGAAAAATCATATTAAGTGACTTTACTGTCAGCGGATCGCGATTATCAGTTTCGTGGACCTCCTCCGCCAGCCGCATCTAAATTAATCTCGACACCTGGCTGAGTTACTGCTCCTTCTGGTTCGCCACCGAGGCGCTCACACAGCATTCAGCATCACCACCTCCTGCTCTTTGCGGATAACCGCACCTTCATTTTCCATCGACCCTATGCTCTGCCTCTGGAGAGAAGCCTGCGGCTCTGCACCATTAACATTGCCAGTAGTCGCCGTAGCGCTGTGACACCCCTCTTCCTCTTCAGCAGCACACTGGGCAGATCTCTCACCGTGGCCCTCGGCATCTCCCTTAGCGCGACTACTGTTTTCAATCGTCATCTGCGACTGCGTGAAGATTGGTCGATAATGATCAATAAAGCGCCATACCCAATTTTGCTTCGTGTGGTCGTTTTGTATAGCAAATTCTGGTATTCGCTCACAATATCTCTGTAATTCAGCCTCTGAGATCTTACTACCGCCTTCAACGTAGTTCCGGTAAAACTGTAAAATTCGATCTTCGTATGGTTTTTCTTGGCGGTCGGGCCCAGCACCGCTCTTCCTGTATCGCCCGGGGTCCAAACTCGGCTCTTTCACAAAGGATACTTTTGAGTCTGATAAAGCTCTGCGCCAGCCAAGAAGTGTGGATTTCTTTACTCCTAACTCAGACGCTGCCTGGGATGTACTCCATTCTCTGTTTTCCGCCCAGATCTTTAGCGCCTTGGTCTTGTCGGCCTCCGTTTACTGTACGCAGCGGCGCTTCTTTTCCATTCCGCACAAATCCAAATCAGTGGAGGTAGGCAGATAAAAAACGCGGACCGGTCCATAATTTAACCGGTTAAACATTTACAGTTGGTAAAAACATTTACTCGACTGGTCCAGTTAAGTTGCATCTGTGTTCAAATTAACTCGACCACATGCATGATAATTCGACCCGACTGGTCGAGTTAAGCTGCATCTGTGGGCAGGTTAAGTCGGCCGAATGCAGGTTAGCTCGATTTATTTCAGGCCGGTATGATATCAATTTAAAACCTCGCTGACATATATCAAACCGACATGGTAAGGCTCACGATATTTCGAGGGAGAGACAGTAGGTGATAGCACTTGGATAGCTGCGGTAGCCCAGCGGTACCGCTAAAACAGTCGCTAAACGCCTTAAACATAAAACGTGGCGAAAACAACAGTGAGCCGGTCTAATCGACAAACCACTATCGCTCTCATACAAATATTGTAACGCAGGTCATCGTAGGCGCTGAATACTAGATGTCAGCTAACCATCATACCCATATATGACTGTATTATCGCGAGCAAGAAGAACCAGCCCTGTGGAGACCCCATCTAGTGTCCAGAGTGAAATTGGCTCCATCGATAAAGTTATTACTCTTAGGTTGGGCAGGCAAAGACCCGTCCTGGTCATAAGTCTCGATGCTAAAGATTTACATCCTACCTTACTACAATACCTTAGTTGAGCAAAGTCTCCATTTCTAAAGCCCTCGTCATTCGTGGCGGTCGGCCATTTAAACGCGGAGAAGGAAGCCCAAACAAAATCGAAGGCGCGCGAGTTGCCTCTGTTTCTATTCCTCTGCGCAGGCTAAAATTGTTTGGCACTCCTTTATGAGCAGTACTTCTTGGGCTGAGAGAATATGATACTTGTAAATGGTGCTCAGTATCAAAGTTTTGCCAATCCAAGTTCCCGACAGTTTGGTTCATTGGAGCCATCGCAAACATTTCATTGGGTAGATCGAAGTAAGTGCTGCCTCTAACACCAATGGTGCTAGAGTTTTGCAAAAACGGTCGCCGTAGGAGATGGGGTGTGTTCGTGATACAGGGGTCGAAAGCTGTCCACGCTACAGTCTCAATAGGCGTAATAAAATCAGAGTGTGGCTGACCGCTAAAAGTAGACATTTCAATCGTGCTCCCCGCTGCTGGTGTGGCCCAGTTGTGGTTGGAGGGGTATAACCATCTTCAATACGGTTGGTCTCTCTCCAAACTCCGCTGTCACCAAAGGGTGCACCGTCCCGAAAGCCATGTGTGTTGTTCGTATCAGTTGGCACTGGCGTTTGCAACGTCATCTCACATTTCGAAGGAGATTCACGATGGATTCGCTGTTTTTTACGTGCTCGCCTACTCATAAACTTATCGCCATACCCAGGTCCGATACCCGAGAACTGATCTCGCTATGACGACATGCGAGCACACACCAAACTTTAAATGAATAGCACAGCCACACTTGTTGTTCTTAGCATCCACGAGCCATCCATCTTGTGGCATATTGACGCAATGTGCACGGCGGGTAGACCATTTTACACTGTCACGATGCAGTCGAGACACCTTGCTTTTTTCCGCCTTTTCTAAAACCAAACCTAGTACGAATGGATCTTCTTCGTTTTCAACCACGTTGTTTGCAAGGCGTCGCATTGTTTTCATCGCAGTGGCGTCAATATGCACCTCCAGAATATGCATCACCTGGACTTTTGTCTCATCATTCGTACGAGCCACAAGCACAGCCTGGGTTTTCAGTATCCATTTTGCCGCCTTCTTGATCTCGCCGTTTGGTGTCGTGATGGATGTTGTCGGTGACGGCACGTCGGACCCCACATCCTCAGCCAACCTAATCATACTTCGCAAAAGTGCGCACACCTCCCTCGTTTTGCGATGAACATGCCTCTTTGCAGTTGCATTGAATACCTCACATGAATTGTTTGTTGTAGCGTAACTTGAAGGGGAATGAAAAATCTGCCATCTCCTATATCTGCCTTCCGTCCACTGCTCTTCAAAATATGTTGCAAATGCACTTAGACATGGCTCAGACCTCCAACCCGGAATTACTCGATCCTTCACTGCGCAATACTCAGTGTAACTTGTCGCGTAATGCATACCCATTATACCTGTGAAAACAGCGACCCCTGGCCCAGTTTCGAGATGCCTTGTTCTTTTGTGAGCGTTGTAAAGTACGTGGAAAAAGCACATCAAATATTTGCTGTCACTAAATGCAGCTACGGCCCGAAGTGCATTAAATTGAGCGTCTTCCGCGTCGCCTAAGATGGCATCAACCCGAAGGGTGGTCTGAAATATTTTTTTATACACTCTGGCGACGCTGTTAAAGGCCATTTCGTGCTCTCTATGGGTTCGAGCACTGACGATCACAATTGCGGCAAGGTGATAAACCCTTGACCGATCCGTAAATCCACACGAGACAACAGGATAACCTAGGTCGCTCAGTTTAAAGGTCGCGTCAGTGTTGAACAAGCGAAAATGTTCGCTTCCGTGAAGCTGCTTTACTTTTGTCAGCAAATTGGCTGTTGTTACACCCAAAACGAATGAGTCTTCTTCACCGCCCTTCCCGATCCGTGGATAACCATCAACACCATCTACAGGCCCGAATAGAAATGCCTTGTCACAGTCGATGCCTTCAAAATAAAGATACTCTTTTATCAGCTTCTTCACGGCTTCCCGTGTATACCGAGATAAGTTTTTCTTTAGGAGTCTCTTTACACAGTCTGACACCTGCTGCCGCGATGGTAACCCCAGTGGAGGTGGTGCAACATCAACTGTACGACGAAGGTTACTCCAAATATCGCCTGGTCGTACTCCGCATGAATCCATTCTAGAATAAATTCTTTCACTTCATCTGTTATCGGTATACGATGTTGTTCAGCGCATTGTTCCCCCCCCTAAAGTTTTTTTTTGTCGCTACAGTAGACACGACACGCGTGTCTAGATGTACATTCCCAGTACTTCCACTGCACGCCTCACTGCATACCTCCATTCATATCTTCGTTGCTTGCACATGTCGGGCTGATACACTTCACTCGTCTCTCAATCATTGCGTGGTCGGCGTTGCATATCTTACAGTCCATCTCACGCTTTACGTATGCACCGGAGCAGCAAAAATTCGATGCTCGCAGCTTGACAAAGTCTGCGTTCGTTGCATGTTCCGCCAATAGTGCCCAGGAATGGCGTGGCATCCTTCGGTTTTGCGCTCGGTGTTAGTAGGATAAGCACAGGTGCCAATGAGATGAATGCACGGCGTGCCAGGGGTCACCTGGAGTAAAAACAGTTTATGGCGAACAGCTGTAGAACTGGTTGTAACACGACTGCGCCCGCTCCAACGAATCAAGCAGAGATGCACACTGCTGATGCTGGTTTACTCGACCGGTCGAGTTATTGTGCATGTGGTCGAGTTAACCTGCAAGCAGCTGATGCTGGTTTACTCGACCGGTCGAGCTATTGTGCATGTGGTCGAGCTATGTGCAAGTGATCGAGTTATTGTGCATGTGGTAGAGTTATTGTGCAAGCGGTCGAGCTAACCTGCAAGCAGCTGATGCTGGTTTACTCGACCGGTCGAGTTATTGTGCAGGTGGTCGAGTTAACCTGCAAGCAGCTGATGCTGGTTTACTCGACCGGTCGAGTTATTGTGCATGTGGTCGAGCTATGTGCAAGTGGTCGAGCTATTGTGCATGTGGTCGAGTTATTGTGCAAGCGGTCGAGCTAACCTGCAAGCAGCTGATGCTGGCTTACTCGACCGGTCGAGTTATTGTCCATGTGGTCGAGTTATTAATATTGTGACTTGGAGTTTTACTTTTGAAAAAAAATATGCACGTTTTTGATACTATTAAAAGTACGGTACCTCGAAGGTGAGATGCGTACACATCTTTTCAATAGTGCTGTTTTGCTGGAGCCCACAAATCTTTTGCTGCCAAAGTGAAGAGATTTGTTTGCTGAAGCCGTTTTGATTTTGCTGGCACCCTATCTTCTTTTGTTTTCACCGCAATTGGTGTTTGTACGCACCCCGGTCTCCCCCCAAGGGAGCATCCCGCAGAATCTCAAAAGATTCGGCACGCTTTGATCAGAATGACGACACGAGCAACAGAAGACTGTCACCATGTATTATACTTAGTAAAGTAGCAGTTTTCCTGTGCAGGTATTAATACCACAGTTTTTTCAAAGAGAAAGTACATGTATTTGAAGAAAAAACTCCACAAGTATCCGGCAGTACGTGTATTACTGTATTAATACCTGTAAAAGTGGGGCGCACTGGAGTCCAGTGACTGGACCAGGTCGTCTGTCCAACTCAATCTGTGAAAATGCTTGCCTCATTGGCTTTAAGCCAATGCGATCTCGTTAAACGAACGAGTCGTTTGGGGTGAGAGGACAGGATGACTTGTTTAGAAATTCTTTGTTAGAAACGCTTTCTACAGAAGAAACTTCTACGTATTTAAAAAAATAGTAAAAAAAAAAACTCAAGTAGTAGCAAAGGACGAGATGAATGAAAAATCGACCGTAGTCTTACTATAACTTTAAAAATGAAAATACTACCGCTATTTTCGTTCTTGCTAACTCTGCACTGCCATGGACGACTGCGTGTTGCGCAGCGCCTGCAGCAGACTGGGGAGTCGAGGAGAGTTCGACGCAGACACCGGGCTGACAGGAGACACGTTCTTGGGCATTGCCGGCATCGGCAGCTCCATCTGACGAGGAATCGCCTCGTACAGGGGGCGCGTCGGAGCAGGAGACGCCGGCGCGTTACTGTCCCAGTTCAGGTGGGCCACGCAGAAGCGCTTGGACTTACGGCTACGCATGCAGCCCTTGACCTCGCAGCGCTGGCCGCCGCCGTGCGCCCAGCAGAAGTCGCTGCGGCTCTGGGCACCCTTGTTGCACTCTGCGTGTTGGCAACGGCGACCGCCGCCGTGACCGCGACACAGGCCCCGGCTCACTGAGATCTTGTCGCATCCCATGACGTGGCAGCGCTTGCTGCTGCTACCGCTTGAGCCGCGACGACGGCGCGTACAGGTAGCGCGCGGCTCCGTGCGGTTCAAAAACTCTTCCGTGTGGTTATAGGCACGGACGCCGCCATTGCTAGAGTTGTCCGAGCTGTACAGTGGCGAGTCCGGTAGAGTAGAGGCAGAGGACGACTCGTAGCGAGAATTAGCGTGGATGTACTGGGACATGCACGAGATAGCCTGAGGCTGTGGCTGCTGGTAGGGCATCAACGACAGTGCGCGTACAGCGTCGAAACAAGCAGTGGACTCCTGGATCTTAGGCTGGCGCGCGTAGACTAGTGGCTGTAGCTGCTGCGGCTGTGGTGCGGCTGGGATGAGACGCTCCAGGTGCTTGACCAGGTCGTGACCGCGCGGCAGCACGATGGACGAGGAGCGGTCGTCGCCTAGACCGATAGAATTGGAGATCGTCTCGCTCTGTGGGGCCTTCACTGGCGCCTGCGTGTACAGCGGTGTAGTTCCGTGCATCATCATCATTCTGTGATACTCTGTAAGAAATGTTGTCGCTTGAGCTTGGGAATGCGGATTGCAGAATGACTGGAAACCAGGGTGAATGCGTCGGGGACGGAGGAGATGATGTTGGTGGTAGATAATGGCTTAGAATTGCTAAGTGGTTTGTAAGGGTTTCACCCCTCCGTGTGAGGCGGGAGCCAGCAAGCGACAACGCTGTTGAGACGAGGGCTCGAGCGGGAAAGGGTTGCAACCCTATTCTTGGTTTAATCAAAACACACACGAGACTTTTTATTATACAGTACTGCACATTGGGACCTTAGTGTGAATACAAGTGCAACAGCATGGTGCTTTCTGCTCTCCATGGATAATAGTCCGATGCAGCCCGCACTCGACGAGCAGGCTAGAACAACGACGAACTCGCAAGGCCTATCGACACCTGGAAAAATCATTTTAATCCTTCAGCCACGACTAATCCTGGGCCGTTTCGCAGAGAAAGACCGACGACATCATTTTTACGGATTTTTTCGGCCAGTTCTGTAGCATCGCAGACGTTCTATTGATAAGTCAGCCGTTGGCGCAAGTTTGGCTCCTTCTCAAACCATTCTTTTACATGTAGTGTGGGTTAAATTTAGGGAAGTGGGATAAAGGTGTCATGTGATTGACGTTGTTGACCACGTGTAAGCCCTACATACTTAAGTAAATGGTTTGTGAACCTTCGACTCATTTAAAAAAAACCCACCGTGCAAAAGGGTTAGGGCTACAATCGTTGGATGCGTCGGTATTAATTTCTGCGGACTGGCTCAGCTGATTAATTTAGGATTCGTTAATTTAGGATTCGAATCGAGCCAATCAGAGCTCGATTTGAGCGCGATACCATGGAGTCTCAATCTGCGAAATACGTGTAACGTCATATAGTTTTAGTAATATCTACTGAGGTGTGCACTACCGAACGCATTGCCAATGCTCTGCAGGACCAGCGCTTACCTTAGCTCAGAGGTCGTGAGAAGGGGGGTGCAAGGGCCACACATCATGCAGCCAATCAGCGTGCACCAAGTGGCGGTATTTCGCCATTCGAGGCTCATTTTAATCTTTATCCAGTGATTTGGAGGTCATCATTTAATTCACTGGGTGAATTCTTTAAGAATTATGCTTCAAAAGACCCACCTTTGTATTGTTGCGAAATCGATTACGCTTTGTAAACGCAGCTGCAAGATCGACCCAGGAAATTCCAGCAAGGAATAAACACGTCGTTAGACTCTCGTCGTTAGCTTTTTACTAGCGGCAGCTTGCCGTGGCTCACAGCTGCTCCTAGTTTTCGATCGGGCATCACAGATATGGTCGCAACAATCCATCCTTTTTCAATCCTCTCAGGATAAACATGTCTAATGTCGCCCGATGAAAGAATTTACAGTAACATTCCCCTTTGAAACACGCATGTCCTGTTGTAAGTGTTGTCCATGATCTTGGCTCTGTTGAGCACTATTATTGTGAGCCGGTACACTGTACACGTTCTTTAGTCTCTTTGCCTTCATTTTGATTATTGTGAGCCGGTACACCGTCCGTGGATCACTTTGATCCCTCCCGCACACCCTAAAAGTTTTAGGCTAAAACACACTTAACAGTTTGAGCCTACTGCTCACTAACTATTAAAATGCAAAAACTAGCACCCTCGATGCTATTTCAGGAGATTGAAATGAAACGCGCGCTGCATTTCGCGCTTACGTGAAGATGACAACACATCCGGTGCTTAAAATTAAAGCCTGCGTTAGTATCGGTAGCGGAATCATGTGGCTAGCGGCGCTGGTACAGCCAACAACAGCACGATTGTGATGACAGAGGCAGCAGTTGGCACAGGGGAAGCACTGAACGGTCGGCAATCTCGATTTATATTTAATCTCGGTCGTAGATCGGTACACGACCAACTATTAATAGCGGTTTGCAACCACACGGCACGTTTAGCGACCTTGTAAAAAAAACAAGTAGAAAAAAATAACGATACAACCGCGATCGTGGAGAAGAAAAAGTGTACTTTTCAATTTGAAACTATGAGTAGAGCTTTGTAGCTGCGAGCCTTATTACATGTATCAGAGAGCGAACCATGCTTGACTACCTTGGTGTCACAATTTTACAGTTTGATAGTCAAATAAACATTCTCTTCATTTGAGCACACGTTTAAGTGGCACTTTTTAAATCCTTCAAACATTTGTATGAGCATGTAGAAAAAAAAATGAGACAACCGCGATCGTGAAAAAGAAAAAATGTACTTTTCAATTCGATACCATGAGTAGAGCTTTGTAGTGGCAAGCCTTATTATCAGAAACTTAACAATCTTGGTACAACTTCAACAACAGGCTTACAATTTGAAAGTCGAATAAATACTCTCTTCGTTTGATATTACGTTTTAGTGGCACATATCAAACCCCTCATACTTGTACATATGTACGCCACTGTTTCACAAATGACGAGCAAGCGCACTCGTTCTCATTCGCCACCCGCTCCGCCTCCAGAGACCCACATCTCCTCCCAATGCACCTTTGCCACTCGCGGCTGGGTCTGCGTCCCAAACCCTCTGTCACTCTTAGAACTGCGTGTGCTTCAGTCCGAGAGTAGCGCGCTCTACGCTCGTGAATCCGCCGAGTCTATCGCCGCTCTGGGTTGCGTTCTAGACGGCATGGCGCAGTGTCCGGTACATTTTGCATTAAACTACAACGACCTTTTATTAAACCAATTATCACTAAAACCAGGTAATTAAATTGTACATGTGTAGATCCGCGACTCCGACCTGGCCCGAGTAAACTCCAAATACTACCTCCAAGCTCGCACCAAACAGTTAAAGAGCAAATTTATCGACATGGAGATATTCGCATCGATACTGTTTACGAAGCTCCCAGGAATCGCTGGACAGCTGATGGCACGTTATGAAAAGTCTGAGACAGGGTACAACATGTTTTTCTTCAACGAGCACTACGTGGTGAAGCCTCCGAGGAGTAACGTGGAGTTTCGCTGGCATCGAGACGACGACGAGCAGCTCGCTATGTGTGTGCATCGAGACAAAATTGCTCCCTATGTGTCGGCCTGGTGTGCCTTGGACGATGTGACTGAAGTGAATGGAGCACTACAATTCGTGTCGTTGAAAGAACACGGCGTCAGTGTCGACAACTTAGCGTGTCATGCTAGTGAGCCAGTGACAGTCAAGGCGGGAGACGTGCTCTTCTTCTTGTCAAGTGTGTGGCATTGTTCGTCGAGCAATGACTCGGACGCACCTCGGCGTGCATTTTACGCTCAGTATTCAAGAGAGAGGATTACAGCTCGACCCAACGATCCATCGCCCTTGAGTTTTGCTATCCCCTGTAGAGGATTAAGCACGGAAGAACCTACGAGTTGTGATAAAACACTAAAAAAAGCAAAAATATAATGTGGATTGGATCCGGAAAACTACATGTTTCACTAGACTGACACCAATCTTTTAAATATCACGGTTTGCTGGACTAATAGCAGACTGAGGCGTGAGCGATTCGACTACGAACACTAACTACAAATCGACATGCACATTTTTTTCTACATGTAGACCCTGCCGCAGTGAGCTGGAAAATATCAATGAACGTTCGTTTGATGATCGCGTTGAAGAACGTGACGAGGTCTAGAGCATGAGAGCGAGTAGCTTTTTAAACAGCACTCAGCTCCTTTCCCCGGGAAAGTAATTGGATGATCGACAACCAGTGGAAGGCGCTAAGAAATAAGCATTTTACTAATTGGGTCCCGATTCTTGTCAATAATTTATTATGAAATCACAAATTTATTTACTTCGTCGATACGAATGCATTAATATATTATTTGCTGAAATGCCGTTTTCCCACAATGAACAGATTCCATCATCACTATGCTATACACGACAAACCACGGCATTTTCATTGAGAATTAACTTGCAAACGCTAAGAACCACAAGTTGCTGGAGTGCTCACTCTTCATTTCGGACGATTAGTGTTATTACCAGGGCCGCCGAAAAAATGCATTTTTATAAATATTATTACTTTATTTATAAGCCATGCAAAATATTACATCATATTTTATGACGCCAAGGTACTATTTTATAAAACAAAATTTATGAGAATGTACAATTCTTACTTAAGATTGTATGCGGAAACGACTGCCCTCCCTTGGTCAAATGTGCTAGTCACCGACTAAATCGGGCGGTTCAACAACACTTGCCAAAGCACGAGGAAGATTTGGCTGCTGTGCAAGCTCTGATGTCAAGTCAGCGAAACTTTGATAAGTCCTATTTCATTTTACTATTGTTTTTTAATTAAACTACTAATGTCATTTCGTATTACTTAAATGCGACTAATATGGTAATTTTGTTCTTACTAGATTTAACACTCTACTTCGGCCATCATTTGTCAGGATACCCGTTGGGGATCCCCCTTCGCAATAATGCATCGCTTTGCTGCCCTGTTGGTGTTTTTGGACTAAGAAGATGAAGAACTCCTGAGCTTGCTTCTGTCTCCGGCGTGTAATCGCCGACTTAAGAAGATCTATGCAGACCTCAAGGACTTTGAGTCGGTGTCAAAAGCTTTACAAGGGGAGAACGTGAGCTTACTGGACGCCTTTCCTGCCCAACGGCCTTTTTAGTCCAGTCTGCGTTCGCTACCTATATTGGTACGGTTTGCTTTGTTTCTAGTGCTTCGTAATATTTGCAAACTCAAAGTGATACACATAGGTCCTCGGGCAAACATCGCTCACAGCCCAAACTCTGAGTCGGGCTGTGCCCGGTCTCTTAAAGAAAGTGAAGCCCGCCTCACCTTAGCAGAGAAGTGGGGCTTTTCGTCCATTCATCCTGGCGGGTCTAGACAACCACGAAGAAGAAACCGATAATGAGTCTTTTGTGCAGCGGCTTGAAAATCACCGCCGGCTTGAAGCAAAAGAAGCCCGATACAGCCTCGTTAGCAGCATTCTGGCCACCTCGAACAAGGTGGGACGGTTCTTCAGTGTTGCCCACACAACATTTAGGCAAGAGTGTAATGGCTAGCAGCCCATTACGCTGGAAATGATTATTTTCCTGCGAGAAAACTCCCGTTTTTGGGAAGTTTATCCTGTAGATCAACTACTCTAACTTGCAGCTTGCTAATCAATACGAGTAGAGCTGAGCACCATCATATATTTATCACTGACAGATATGGCGTTATGTATGAAGTCGTTTTCTAAGATGCCGATACATTATTAATGAGCATCTTTGCCTTTCCATTCATATAAATATCATGATCGGCCCTGGTTGTTACTGCAAGAAAACGGTGTGATTTCGACAGGATATGTAATTTTTTAAACAAAAATGATGTTGAGTCGCTCTACATTATGCTCTTATTATTGTTTGGTCACTGGACATGCCATAAGGTATGCTTTGGCACTAGTCGGCCAATGCTAATTTTTATGCTAAGGGAGGGTTCCCGATAAATAAAACTGCCATAATCGGGAGCCCTGGTACCTAGTCCTTTTTTAAAAATGAGCGTCAGGTAAGCATACTATCTGACTCTGGTTCATCGAGTCCAGCGATACACTGGCATTTCGTGATGTAACAGGGTCACACAGCACCTTGCGCTAGAGGACGTTGGCTTCCGAGAGTATACAAACTCTCAGTGAGCAGTAGCTCACAGGTCTCTTTACCCTAAGGGAGCGAAGTCGTGAAGTCGCCAAGGTCAAAGATACTGTGATTCTACGTCAACTACGACACGAATGTTTATCACGACGGTACCACAACGAATTTTTCATTAGGGCCGATAAATAATCTGATTGGACAAAATAGACGATCGTTGCTGGCATGCAGTCGCACAGCAGGGTGTTTCGCAAAGCATATTAAGCTGCGAGCGTGATCACAAAGCTGTGCAATAGTTTAATAGTTCCTTGGCACATGTACCCTTGCTCAACTGGCCAATGCCATTTGTGGTGGCGCCGTCGATGGGTGGCTCTGCCCTATTCGAGTCCGACAGAGAAAGGAGGTTTTTAGGGTGAGATCGTTCCTCTCTGGTAACTATCAGCGATACGGTATAAATGCACAAGCTTGCTGTGATCGTTTAAGTCGGTTTACTGCCGTAACGTGCTCAAGCCCAGGCGCTTGTTCCATGACCTAGATGGGCCGAAGCTGCTGACACCACAAGCAGCGACTGCACTGAAGATTCGGCGTCTACAACAGTACACAAAGTCGAAGGGATGGCCTCACGAGTAGTCCACGATACTTCTGCCGAAGTGCATGCTGTAGTTAGTGGCGTAACCCTCCCGAGTTTTTCAGCTAAATATTACTGTATGGCACGAATTCGCATAACATCATTTTTAACGAAACAGTGCCAGGGTGCCACGACAGTCAGGCAAAATGGAATGGCATGGCACTGGTTAAGCCCCGCCCTAAGAAAATGTGCGCACTTTCCAACACGATACGTAGCGCAGATTCGAGGCACTGGGAGCAGTGTTTGTGATTAAATTAGCGCGAATACACGTGATTAAACAAGTGCACGAAACACGAAGGAAGCTCGAGACAGGCTATATACTCGATGGGATTGAAGGAGCGACACGAAGCACGGAAGGCCGTGGACGATGAAAGAGAACTAAATCAATGAAGGCATCTACAGATTCTGAAAAACACGAACCACGGAGGAGCACGCTACCATGAAAACTTGGAAGGACAAAAATACGACGGAAGCATACGGACCACGGGAAGGAACTGAAATATTGACACCCTAGCCAGCTAAAAAGCACGGGCTACGAAAGAGCACGCACGTTCGAGGCCACGATAGAACACGTAACGGTGAGAGTGCACAAAAACAATTCTCCAATAACACTACGATAGAATATGGAGCACAGTCAACGGACCAAACATGAACCTGCGGGAGACCAAAAGCGGGAAAGCACCGAGCATTGGGGCACGATGCCGGAGTAGAACTAAAGCTTTTCGATCCGCGGAACGCGACACTATGGTACCTAACGAAAACACGGACGACAGACCAACCTCGACACCACAAATTAACACGATGGCATGGAGCACGAAATATACGGGTGGTGGGGGGGGGGCTTGGGGTGCCCACGATTGCACACTGTGGAGCACGATGCCATGGTAGAGCACGAAAGCACGAACAACGCAGATGAACTACGCGAGCACAATACCAGACCGCGATTGCACGATAGCGTGATAGCGCGGTCGATGGAACCTCACCAGGAGAGCATGATACAAGGGCGACGGAGCAACGCGACTACGTGGAGGCCCTAAACAACGGAATAACTCCCTTCGGCTAGAGTACCGGCGATGGGAGGCCGAAAGACTATATACCACGAAACCGGTGCAACCCACGTAAACGTTTGAGAACAGGGAATAGTTAGCAGTCACGAAAGAGGCCGTGCTAGAGAGCATGAACCGAAAAGAGAGATCAGATAACCACTAAGTAGCGTGGGCCACGGGTGAGCAGGGAGCCACGAAGCCAGGAAGAGCACGGATGCACACGGTCCATTGAAAAACACACCATCCAGCCTGTAGTACGAGGTAACGGAGGCATACCAAATCACGATATTAAACGGCACAGCACGAGACTACGGAGTGGTAAGTGGTGAAGTACACGAGCCCAAGACCTACTGGGATGAACGACGCTCACAAAGCACGCGACACCAAGAGGCACTAAAATTTGCGGCCACCAACAAACCATGCCACTCCGCCTCGTAGTGGCGGCGGCCGGCTAGTCCTAAGCTTTCAAGGCTAATTCGGTGTCCATCCGTCCGTCACACGAAACGCTCAGATGTTTGAGTTTTCCCATTGGCTGCCAAACAGAGCGAAGGCAGCTCCGATTGGGTAAAATAGGATTATGTAGCCTACATCAATAAATTCATGTGGCACAAGACTATCCATTATCCGAAGGCGGGATCATTTTGATAATATGTAATACTTTGTTTTTAATAATGCGGGTATTTTATTTATTCGAGTGCTATCGCTTGAAGGTGCTTAGCGGACACATGTAGGAATGCGCGTTTCCGAGGACATGTTTTTAATATACGCAATACTTTGTACTCAATCGTTTCTGACCGAGCTACACCGACGGACAGAATGCAGCTGCCACTTTCCCACTGGTACAAGAGCGGTCAGATGGCCTTATCCTTTTTCTACAGTAACGAATTACCTTAAGTATCTGGCAAAGTTAGGGAAGCAGCTGTATTTAGCACTTAAAGTTGGTTTTAAGTGCTTTGTTAAATGCACTCGTGACGGTGGCAGCTTCAATAGATTCCCAAGCTGTTATGGCACGCTTTATCGTAGCTAGACGTTTTTCCTTAGCAGTCGTTGCTGTAGCATTCTCTAACAGCCACATAGCCTTGAGCGTTGCTTTCAAAGGCCCCACGATACCAACATCTATAGGGCTGGTAAATGAGGTTGCAATTTCCGGTAATGGATGGAGCACAGACATAAGCTCGTTGTAATGGGCCCCTCCATTACATAAGTAGGTATATTTCTTTACATAAGTAGGTGCATCAGCTCACGACTAGTCGTGTGCTGAATGCTGTCATGCCATTGGCTGATATATTGGGAGCCAGACCCATTACTAGCCAATTGGACTATGACGTGTATTTGAGTGACCAGGGCTGTGGCCTTGGTCCTAAAATAAAGTCAGAGTTGATTTTTCCTTAAACCTAAGACTCAGTCGTCCTATTGCGAGCTTTCTCAACACTATAGTGTAAGCAAGTAACGGAGTAAATACCTGGCCCGTTACACTCGTCGGACACAATTGCCTCAGACTCGCCCGAGACATACACTCTGAGTTATCTATGAGTAGTTAAGAAGAGCGTGTAGCGTGCTGCTGCAGTAGTGAGCGTAGGTAACACTTCCATACGCGGGCATCCATCCAGGCTTTAGTCTGAACAACATACTCATGTCCTAACAACCATTACCGTAGCTCATGTCAGCTAGTGAATAACCAGCACATTTAAATAATAAAATAGATTAAATATGTTCTGTCGGGGTATGTAGGCAACTCTTCTCTCTCCATGATGCCGATTTGCTCTCCACGATATAGAGCAGTTGAAGCTTCACGCCATCCGCGTAGATATTGCATACAGCCGTCAATCGAGCAGAATGTTTTTGATGAGCTGGTATAGATGACGACTGACCCCTTTCGGATAGTATCTTGCCCGGCGATGCGTAAAAGTAAATCGCAGTTTCGTCACAGCTAAAAACTTCTCTTGCAGCAAAGCTATTGTACTTAGACTTGAAAAGCTCAGCCAAATTGTCTTGTACATCTACCAAGTCCTCCAGTTTTACCTATACATAAATTATCAAAATGATCAAGCTCGATTAATTCCATACAAATTATCTGTGCCATTCCGGTACAAATGAAACTGTGCGGTCTGCGCTGCACGAAGTCATCCCGATACGAAAAGCGTTGTAGCAACCTTTGTGGGAACTAATACGTAGTATTCTTGCCCTCCGAATAGTCCTCCAACAACTTTGAGTGCTCCTCCCGAATGTGTGTGGCCATTATAGATGCAGTAAGCGGCAGGGACTCGCAACGTGTTTCCTTCATAAACGTGACAAGAATAGCGCTAAACGGTATTATCTCACGATGACCAGGTGACTGTGACAAGGTCTTCTCGCTGCCTCGAAACGCAAAAATCTCGTCTTCGCTCTTCCTCCATGACGTTAAAGTACATCGCGGGATTTTATGAGACATGGCAGTCTCGCGCTGAGCTAAACCCTGTGCTACAATAAGAACATGCCGTTTCTTCTTCATTGTAAAATACATCCGACGCTGCTTGGGCTCTGATACACCTCATTAAGAAGGTCTGCAATCGCCATGATTTCTGGTGGCGACAGGGGCTTAGGTGGGGGCTCCGACCGGTGGTCCGACTCGGACTCCGGGGTGGGGTCAGCTACCACCTCCATTTTACCAAGTGACTGGTGCAGGATAACCACTGCAGCTCAGCTGTGCAATGTGACGATTTTTAACTAATTTGATTGGCTAATTAGGTGGATTTGCAAATGGCCGCTATGAACCGCACCCGCTTTACGCTGACGTTTGGCGGTAGTTGCGTTCTGCCCGTCGGTGTATGCACCCGCAAGCTACGATGACAATCATCGACTAAAAAAATATCCATGATCGTTGTGCTGTAAAAAGGCTACCGCGACTCAGGATGAGTGGGTTTCTATATGGTAGCTGCCAAATCGTAGTACAACAGAAGCTAGACGTAAAAGCTGGCCGTAAGAATAGCGCTGTGTTACAACGTTGTCACTTGAGCCATAGCGATAGATAATCTCAGATGGAGCAAAAGTAACTCATCTGTGCTGGTAACAGCTACTACTGTAAGCAAATTGAACTTGGTCTTGGTTTTCTAAACGTTGTTTAGACAGCAAAAATGAATACTACTAAACTGGAGGACGTGTCGCCAATAAGGGCGTAGGATATTCTTTTAAATGGAGCGGATAGACAGCAACACCACATGGGATGCGTAAATTATGGCTGGTTAATCAGACCCCATACAGAAACGTTAAGCTTAGAGTATGTCAAATCATCCTGGAATCTTATTAAAACAATCAATAAAAGAATACCGTCGCTAACAGCAACAGCAAGGCGCAGTATCCAACTGTTTTTAATCATAACTGGCAGATTCAAGCATCCAATGACTAATTCTGAATCAGCACAAAATGAACATTAAAATGCTACAATTTCAATTTCATTGAGCTTGGAATGAGAAGTGATCAATCTATAATTACTTACAAGCTCGAACGGGCAGTGCAAGCGGGTAGTTAGTGCAAGCTGGACAGGCCACTACTATCTTTTGCGTCGATGTGAGCTAAGGCTCATAGTGGCTTAGAAACGGCCCGTGATATCGAGCATGACGCTAAACTAAATATATTGTGCTGCGTTTGTAGACATGCTATTTGAAGTGCAGGTGATTCTGACGGTGATAACCAACAATAATAATAAAGAGGCTGTGTCACGGTCACTAGAATAATCTTTTTTGAGCGTCAGTCCCAAAAAAAATGAATTAGAAATATCTTTATCTTTGCTCGTTCTTATTGGTGAATCGTATCCCAGAAATATATGCAAATACCAGCGTGCGAATGCTGCTACCAATGGAGCTCCGCACATGCCGCGAGCCTAACGCACAACATCAGTATAAACCGTTCCGCAACACAGTCTTTACTCACCGACGTGATGGTACGATACCAGAGTGAACAACATAGTACCAAACCGTGATCTCCGTGCTGTCTATTGCTAGTAGATCTCGCAGCGGCACGAGGTCCAGGGGCCCTTTTTAATGAAGAATGGAACAGTTTAGCCGGCAACGCTCGGCGGTATAAGTCACGGTCACTATATCGAACTGAGCGAGATGTAAATCCGACACCAACAGCTACAGTGCAAAGGTTCTACGACCCACAGGAGGCAACTGACGTCAGCTCTCAAGTTGAAAAGAAAGGGAACGCTGTCGTCGCGTTAAAGTCAAATGTGGCGAGATTCTCCGAGTCTTCTCAAGATAATGAAGCCTCCAGCCGCGGTCCTGGCTCGTACTTCCCCGGCAAAGTACGTCGATTAGATCATTTCATAGTCAAAGATGCCAAAACTGACATCATCTCCATCGTGAAGTATTATGGCGCGTTTCCAGCACTCTTCGAAAAGATGACGCCGTACTCAGTGCATCTCGAAAAAATGCAAGCCAAAAGAGCGTTAGCTGCTACGTTTGGCGTCATGCCAGCTCCTGCCACAACAACGGTTCCAACCCGTCTAGCCAGACTTCGATTATCAAAGGCCGATGGCTCTTGTAGACATACACGCTCCTTCGATCTCTCTCTCGAGACGACAAGTCTTGCTCCTGCACTCACGCCTCGAACTGCTTATTATGACTCTGCAAACAGACGACGTATCCTAGCAACGCGTCCTTCTGACAGATCAGAAGACTCGATTTCCTCTAGCCAGTCACCCCCTTGTATCGATTGAGTATATTTTTTCACAATGCTTACCGTACAGCTTGTATCGTCTTGCTTCTTCGTCTCGTTCTATGCTTATCCGTCTTCGCCTGAAGTGTAGCACACTTTGCACACACGTACGACGTCGTAGTAGCCAAAATCGGGGAGACTCATGCGGTGACTCGTGCAACGACCGCAGAAAACGTACCCGCAACAGCGACAGTGGTGTCGATTTCGCAGCAGTGTCTTAAATTTCTTCTTGCAGCGTTTGCAGCACGGCGCGTCTTCGTCACGTTCCCATACAGGCTGAGAGTTGAGATAATTGCCTCCAGAGATTACCTTGTCTGTGCCCAATAACGGGGAGCTTCCCGGTGTGAAGTTTCGAGGATCTCCATCCATCGAGCTGGACTCACAGAGCTCTCTGGCCGAAGCAGATGCGGTACCTGATCCAGGCGACGAAGACGACGACGGTGGAGATAAAGTCCTAGGTGAAGGATACGGTTTGCTGCCGTTAGAACCACCCAGACGAACCTTCTTACCGCTACCGGGGGAGAGCGTGTCGTTCTCGTTACGTAGTGCTGTCTCCGGGAGGTTGTAGTTGTAGCAACGGAATCTGCGCATTGTCTGCTTCGCTGCGTCCTCCTTGATAGCAACTTGATGGTTGAGTTTCGACAGCTGCGACTCGAGATAGCGAAGATCACGTTTCAGGTCATCTCGACGGGATGGCGAGCTCAAGCGCAGGTTTCGTCGTCCTTCACTTACACGTACTGGGTTGGGTAGTGTAGTTGAGCCCACATCCTCTGGCTCATCGGCCTCCTTGTCGTGAGAGCCTCCTTTCATCTGCGCTACCACGTTAATTATCGTGTTCTTGAGACTGTTGCTTCGTGATCGACTTGTTAGCGACTTGCGTCGTCGAGGATTCGGTAAATTGTGCGACGGTGGTGGCGGAGGACCAGAACTGGCCTCGAGGTTCGCACGCTGTAGCATCTGCGCCAACGTCATGTGTTCACGTGGAGGAGAAGCTGCCGCATTTGCAGTAGCACCTGCAGTCCCCATCGCTACAATGCTGGCAAGATCATGGAAGTCCAGGGACGCCGCCGTCGGTCGTTTGCCCGAGTTACGCAGCGTATCCCCAGTAGAACTTGACGCCATTCTCTTCCTCTCCAAGTCTCTCGATGGCGTTCCTGGCTCATCGGGGTATTTCAGGTTCATGCTGCGTGATAGCTTGGCAATATCAGACCGCAACTGACTTGAACGCAGCTCAAGCTGTTGGTCGCTGGATAACGCCGCGTACAGACGTGAGAGATCTGCTTCCTGTTGTCGAATAAGCTGCAGCATTTCAAACTCTCGCTGCTGTAGACGCATGTGTCCAATGGCCTTTTGGTATTGACTGACCCACAGCTGCATGACACGCACACGACACACAGGCAGCATCGGCTCCATGTTCGATCCGCCAGACCCATGTATCTCCCCACCAGCAAACAAAGGATTGAGAAATTGATCTGTAGTAGCCCGAATGACATCCCACACACTGACACTTGGGACAGTTGACAAGAAGAGACGTCGCTCGTTCTCAGAGTTCTTCTGGAAGGTCCCATACCACGACGAGTACACCGCTTCCGCCACAGATGACAGCAACAACTCGTTGAATTGGAAATGCGTTGGGAACTGGAGCGTGAGTTGGTACACTGCATCAATAAACTGCAGGAAGATCGGCGACGTCTGGTCAGATGTGGGATGCGAACAGCGCTTCTGGAAGTTGTGGCCAAATGAGCACCAATCTTTCTCGATCAGCAAAGCGAAACCTTCAAGAGTACGATAGTATGGGTCCAGCATAATCTGCGCCAGCGCGGAGAGCTGAGCTGTGCGATCCCATCCGTCACTGCAATGCACCAAGACAGCATCACCACGTTCGAGATGCGTGGCTACCTCACTTGCACCTTGTAGAATACTGCAGATATGCTCCAACCAGCGACTCTTTTGCACAGCTCCGAAGAAGTTCGAGTCCTCCACTTCATACAAGGCCTGTGCCAAACCAGCAAGCGAGTTGCGTACTACATGGATGTTATCAATGCCCATGAACGTGATGGCAGCGGTAGACACTCCGTCGCGATCATACTGCTTCACCGACTCATGTCCTTTGCCAGCAAGAGCGTTACTCTTTGCATTTATCTCTGGCCGTGCGTCAACAATGTGCACGAGGCTGTTCTTCTTGGGCACAGTGCGCTTGGACTTTGCAGCCTGGTCAGCTGGAATGGCAGCGTCTCGTATAGCCCAGATCAGTTTCTTGTCTTCTGAGTTCGTGCTGCGTAATACACCCGTATTCGGTTGGCTACTGCGACAAAGTGGAGCTCCAGTTCGAGGGTGGATCCACGTGAGCGCAGGGAAACGACTCTTGCTGCGGAAGCCTGCAGCAGCTGTGATAATCTCGTCATTTAGACACTCTGGCACCATAAGGAATGCCGGATACGAAGGACACAGCTGGTACTGCTCGTTCAGCTCACACCTCCGCCAACGAGGATGCTCCAAAGCACCTTGTCGAGCAAACTCCGCTTCTGGATCGTATCGAACCCGCCGTCTCGCTGCAAGCTGGAACTGCTGCGGTGGCTTCCTCACTGACATCGTCTGCGTCAGTGGGGGATACACAGCAGATTCGCTTTGTTGGTGCCTGAACTTGGGTCGTTCCATGGGTCCTCCACTGCCGTTCAGCGTCAAACTTCCAATACTTTCCTTCGTAAATGTATGTTTCTGATACTTGCTGTAGTTCTGCGTAAGAGCGCGAGCCATTGGTGGCGGCATCGACGAGCTGCTGTGCTTGGGCGTGTAATGAAGTAGATCGTCCTCAAGTTGCATCTCATCTGCAGTAGCCACCGTGTGATTCCTGTCAGTCGGAGAGCAAAAGCTGTTTTCAATACGTAGCCACTCAATCTCCCGCACAATATTATGCAGAGTCTTGACACGTTTCAGCTCCGCTTCACGCGAGAAATCCCGGACCGAATCGCGTAGTCTGGAGATTGGGGACAACGTCACGTGGTAGTGTCCAGCGTCCATGTTATCCAAGATCAACACTGTGATGACGTTGTTATTGCTGCGTTTCTGCTGTTGAATCGACGCCTTGAGGATCTTACTCACCGGTAGTGTATGTACATCTTCATGCAGCAAGCCTCGTACACGTCGATAAGGCACGAACCAAATACGATAATTAGTCAGCACTAGTGTGGCCAGCACGCCCTGATTCGACTCGTTGACGTGGAACGTAACTGTCACTTCCTCCACCATGTGCAGAAGCTTCTCATGCCACGGGAAAAGACAATCCTTGGGGGTTCCTTGATGCATAGCCGTCAGTTCGTCCTGTCTAACGGCAACATCCGGATGCCAGCTCCTTGGTAAATGACAATAAGCGTGTTCAAACCGCGGATTCTGTGGCAGGAAAACCTCCTGGATACTGGTACCGTACGGGTGGTTTACCAGGTACTTTAGGTCTCTCTCCTCGTACTGTACACAGCAGAGAATGCGCCCTTGCGCTGCTGAGCCCTTGACCAGTCGGCACCATATAAACACAGGTTTAATATCCATCGCATCGTTCACCTGCTCGACTGAGAGCTCTCCAGCTGCCACAGAGGCGCGACCTTTCGACTCTGCTTGGAGATACCCTCCACTGGAGTTTAATGACCGCGATCTTCGCTGGAAATCGGTCGCATGGGACGAATTCCCCGTCTGGAGCTGTTTACTGTCGCTTCCATTGCCGTTAGAGTTCACCTCTACAGTATTATGAGCACCTAGTTGCCGTACATCCACGCACTTGGAGCCTCTGTGGTTTGTAGGAGGTATTTCCTTCCTCTGCTTACGTTTTTGGTACTCGTCCACGAGCTGACGCCACTCTGGGAAAAGCACACGTAGAGAGCCAAGTAGATCGTTCTGGGACAGTTCGTCCTTGTCCAGAACCTCGAGAACTACGTCCAAAGGCCCAGCGTGTGCCAGAGTGATGGTCACTTGAAAGTCCCAGCGCGGGTTGAGCGACCGCTTGACGCGGTGTGACGCGCCGACTTCCTTGCCGTCGTAGAAGACACGCACGAACGGGTCGCTCTTGCCGTTCAGGTCGGCGGACGCCAGCGCCTCGGCGCGGATGATCTTGAGCAGCATCACAAGGTGCGGGAATGCGGGCACGGAGTGATGGTCACCAAAAGACGTGAGCTTTGGATTGCGGAGTGACTGAACAGACGTCAGGAGTTTTAGAAAAGCTACTGTAGAAATTGATTTGGAATTTGTTAGTAACTTTTAGGGGTTGAGTTTGTCCCGACAGCTCATTGCAGGGTTCCCCGAATCTTCCGTGTGTGTAGCGTGCGAGGTCGGATTTATTATCTGTGAAAGTGATTTGGCGGCTCATTTGAAGTCAATGGGCGACGCTCAATGGTAGGATGGACCTCGATTTATCTGGACAGATGCAAGAGAGATGGCCGACATACCTCCAATTTGGAGGCTCATGAATTCCCACCATGTCGTCGTTTGCAAGTTGCCGCATAATTCCCACATACCCTAGTCTAGCTACGTGAACCTCAGTACCTTTCATTATCCCTGCTCTTCTTGGGCTTGCAAAAATCATACACCCGATGCTTTAAGATGCTGAATGTATTGATTCGATTTTTACGTAAAAGCACAACACTGAAATCTAGCTGTACGACGATCGTTCGCTTTTGACTTTATAAAATTGAATGCTACATCGACCAATGACTCCTTCTCTGTCGTGTGCCCTGGCGAGGCTTGTGCACACTTCAATGTACCAGTGCTTTAATCCAGTGCCAGCAGTCAACTTCGTCCTGTCGAGAAGCGATCCTTGAAAAATACTGTTCTCAGTTGACCAAAACTTCAACATCACGCAACGTTCACGATACATCAACGAACGAAGCGTCATACGTGAAGAAATTGACAGTCAAGCACTATTTGGACGCACTAAAACATAACATGTAAATCTGAATAAAAAGCGACTTTGACATAAGAACCAGCTTTAACTTGAAAAAAAAAATCCTATTTAATTGGATCAAAAGATTGTCTCGTCTCTGTAATTAAATGATCTGAAATCTCATCTTCGATTCGTCGCCGAAAGGACACTCTGTCGTTGCATTGCAAGTAACGTACAGTACCCACCTTAAGTTGATCTTTGAGTTGACGACACGCCCAACGTATGACGCTCCACCCATTCGTATGCAGTTAGTTGACCGATTGCATTCCGTCTCCTTGCAACTACAACTTGTCTGTCTCACTTGCTGCCTGGTCGCGTTGGAGCTCCGCCTTTCGGCAATAGAAACATGTTGAGGACGTCTCGATTGTTGCCCAGGAACTCAAGGACTTGACTCTCCACCAACCTACGAGTGGACGGCTCCAGAGAGCTACCACCACGTCCTACACGCTCCTGCGCCAATGCCATCGCCCCCTTCGTATCTCCAGTCTCTCTCATAAACGCTACTGCATCGTCTGCAATAGCGCGGACGCCGTCGTCCTTGGCCAAGAGCGTACGCAGTTTAGTACGGAAAGCTGGAAAGCGGTCGTGGTACAACGCATTGGCCCACGGGTCTGCGAAGAACGAGACCCAGTCGTGCACTTTACCGGCCGAATACGAAGCCAGTGCACTGTTTAGATACGCTTCATGCAATCCCACAAGGTTCTGTAGATCGCGGACGGGTACAGGGACGTCTCCCAAGTATTCTAGTCGATTCAGTACTCCTACGTCATCAAAGAGTAGACACGTGTACCGAGACGGTTTGGTGGCTCCGCTAGTAGGGCGAGAAGGGGCGTGCGTGTCCGTATCAATGAGATTTACGTCTGTCGTTCGCGACGCGGTATTTGTGGGCAGCGATTGTAGTGCCAAGGTGTTAGTAAGAGTTGGGATGCTTATCTGTACGTAGAATTTGCCACCGAGTACCACAGCACTTCGAACCACAGGAAGTTCCATGTCTGGAGGTGGAACCATCCACGTTTTCGACGGTTGTGTAGGTAACGGATGCACTTCTGAAGGCTCCTGAGTAGCCATTGGATCAAGCAACTGAAGCAGCGATTTCGCGAGTAACTCGCCACCTTCGCGGCTGCTGTAGTGTTCGTGTAGTTTGGCTGACATAAATCGTCTCGAAAAACGGCATAACGGTCCAGCACCCAGCACGTGTGCGTCGGTTGTGCGCATATGTCCATCCACAACCAAACGGCCGTCGTATACAAGACCACTTTCGTTTATAGCACGAAAGACGTCGGCGTCTGAGTCATTATGCTGGCAACAAAGCAGCCACGAGCACGGTATCAACTCTCCATCAGCAATAGAATCATCGCCTGGATTTTTAGATCCTTCTAAAGCCAAGACGCGGACACCTTCTAGTTCGTCATCGTTTCCAGATTTCGTTTCGATAGCAACAATCTTGGTAGCTGTATGAAGTGTGACTCCACTGTTAGCATACTGTTTGTCCATCTCTGACCGGACCACAATATCCTCAAAGACACCACTTCCGTTGTCTCGTGATGAAGAAACATGATGAATACGACTGCCATTAATCCCTCGAATAAGCAAAGCCTGGATCACTTGAAGCGCCAGCAATGAACTACCATACACCACAATGGAGCCTCCAGTCGTTGCCTCTTTCGTGCTTAATACAGTGTGGAGTTTTTGAGCTGTTGGTACGTCTCCCAATATCATCATTTGTTTCGGGATAACTGGAGGAGAATACATTGCAGCCGTTGTGGTACCGTCACCAAAGCCTTCGTCTATGAATCGTGGTGGCTTCTTGAGTGACGTACATGTGCCGTCTTGAAGCCCCGTAGTAAGCGCGAGGTAGTCGTATGGAATACACGAGCCATCTTGGAGAATCACAGCTCGAGTTTCGCGATCTAGACGCACCATTCGACTCTCAATCACTCGTACATGAGTGCGCAGACTGAATTGCTCCAACTCTATAGCTGTAAACAAGCTCTTCTTGGCAAAATCCGAAGCTCGGGGAGTCAGGGTATCGTCATCACTTTCATCCATTGTTGCCACGGTCAAACCATGCGGAGAGATGAGCGTTAAGTTGGAGAAATACAGATACGGAGTCGCTAGAAGGCGAGCTAAGCAGCTCAATGCTGCGTCTGAAGCGCCTACAAACACGACGCGCTGGTTGACAGTCATCTTCGGTTCAGACAGCAAGCGTTTGGGCAGCACGAACAGCGCAAACGCAGCACAAACTGCCGCTCTACGTACGCGCTCTCGTTCATCCTTGACGTCGTCACTCACTTCCTCAGTGTCTTTTGTGGCAGGGAGTAGTGTTTTCCTTGTATTTGTATGCGCACCACGTCGTGGAGGAGCAAGCACGAACTCCTCGAGCGCAGCACTGAACGTTGTCGACGTTAAGTTGCTCGTGCTGGTTCCAAGACCCGTCGGGACTTGGTAAATGAGGCAAGTTTTGCGGAAAAGCCTCATCAACTCAAGTAAGATGACTCGCGAACAAGACGCGAATATAGGATTTAGAATCAGATGACGTACAAATGCCAGATCTTTGGCACGGTGAAACTCCATGCGTGCCACTCGGTCGATATCGAAGTGATGAGGCAGCAAAGTCGCCACTTCTGGCTGTCGAGCGAGCGCCGCCAACCCAACGACTTGTCCGTTGGCACGTACGATAAATGCTGTGTGTCTTGGCGAGTCTTCCAGATCGATTTCAGCCTCTTCATTGGCAGCGTCAAGCTCTTGATCGAGTGCTCGACGCGTTTGCCGGTTCAGTCCCGCCATTAATGGGGTTAATGCTGCGCTTTCGGCACTTGATAGCAAGCGCTGGACGTCGATCTGGACAGATTGAAGGACACCGCGGCCGTCGCTTGTTTGAGGACAGAAGAAGGAGATAGCGTCGCGATGTAGTACATACAGAGCATGTGTGAAGGCACTGGCTGGTCGCGCTGTAATTCGCGAGAAGAAAGCGAGACAAGGGGGCTCTCGTGCATGTGTCGGTAGTGTAAGTAAGCAGTAGTCACGCGTTGGGAACGTAGCGAACGCAGCTACCAGTAGATCGGCCGAGGAAGACCGCTCGAAGGCGTCGTCGCCCACACAAAACAAGGTGATAGCGAAGCAGTTGGAGTGCGCTTCAGCTCGTGCCAACTTGGAGAGATTCTCCGCTCCTGTGCGTTGTAAAACGCGAGCTTCAACGTCAGCACCACGTTGAATAATGGGCGCTACAAACGCCTTGGCAATCAACGACGCGGGCTGTAATCCGTCCGCACGGATAATCTGTACCGGTGCACCGTTCTCGCCGTGATATGCCTCAAACGCAGCTAAGACTCCATCGCTATGCGCATGGAATTGCTCTAATCTCGTACGTAACGTCTCCTCCGTGTCATCACTACGTTGAATAACACGCGCCTGTACCTCGAAAGAAGGTGGGTTGAACTCGACGTGGTACGTTTTGCCAGTCTCGGGGTCCACGCGACGCCCCGCAATACGACGGATTACTTCTTCATCGGGAACATCCAACACCAACACGCAATCAGGAGCAGCTTTCCCTCCACGAGCTGCAAGCAGAGCCTCTGCTTGCGTAGCCGTGCGAGGGAATCCGTCCAGTAGCCATCCTCTGCTCTCACAATCAGGTTGAGTGATACGCTCCAGCACCACATCGACAATCAGTTCGTCCGGTACTAACTGTCCGCCATCCATGAAGCCTTGAGCTTGCATACCCAGCGGGGATTGCTCGCGTATAGCTTGACGTAACATATCCCCCGTGGACAGATGAACCACATTCAGTAGCGCGACAAGCTGTTCACATTGCGTGCCTTTGCCACCTGCAGGTGGACCGGAGATCACCAGCTTTGGTGGTGTCATCTCCCCGCGATTTATCAAGTATCGCAGCTTCTGGGCTGTCTTGATGGTGCGCGTTTGTTCAGAGATAAGCTGAGCCACTGCATGTTTCGACTGGAGTCCATTCACAGTAATGACCTTAGCTTCCGAGTCAGGAACAGTAAAGGCAGCTAGAACAGAGCCTAAATGTTTATGGAATGTAGCCAGACGTTGGCGAATGGTCGTCTCCGTGTCGTCGCTGCGTTGAATCAGGCGAGCTAAGACGTCTTCGTCTTGAGGCGGCGGGTTGAACTTGAGGTGGTACGTCTTGCCCGTCTCTGGGTCTACGCGACGGCCAGCGATACGTCGAACCACCTCGTCGTCCGGGACGTCCAGTGCGATGACTGCGTCCGGACAGAAGCCTGCAGCTAGCAGCGCTTGAGCTTGAGTCGCAGTACGTGGGAACCCATCGAGTAACCAGCCTCGACTGTCGCAGTCTGGTTGCCCCAATCGCTCTAGAACGACGTCTACGATTAACTCATCTGGTACAAGTTGGCCCGAGTCCATGAAATGCTGAGCCTGGACGCCTAACGTAGAGCCACACGCCACAGCAGCACGTAGGAGATCACCAGTCGATAAATGTAACACGTTGAATGCCTCAACTAGCAGTTCACATTGAGTGCCTTTGCCTCCAGCTGGTGGTCCAGCGATCACAAGTCTAGGAGGAGTGATCTTGTCAGAGTTCAGTGCTGTGATGTTGCCTTTGGCGAGGTCATTCAGTGCACTTAAAGCGAAGTTATCTTGCAGTGTGGATACGTCGATCTGGTTGGAGATTGCTAACAGACCAACGGCTCGACCCTGACCAATAGTGGCAGCTTCAGCGATAAGACAGACGTTGTGTTCGTCCTGGACGTGAATGAGTTCGGCTAGAAAGTAGTCTCCAAACGCAGAGGTTACAGACTCAGCTTGAGCTGTTAGAATCGGCTGCAAGTCGTCGTGGTCTTCGACTCTGGCACGACGCACATGTACAGAAGGGAAGAAGGCGTCCACCTTGGCTTGGTACACTGTAAACTTACTGAAAGTCTTGGCGTTCTTAGCGAATTGCTGCTCGAGTCGCTTATTCTTAACTTCCACAGACGTCGATCGAGTTGCCACCCGTTCGAAGAACTTGGCTAACGCTGGTTCGGTCTCTGTGACGTTGACGTCTTCAGGTAGAACGAGCAACACACTTCGCTTATTCACCAACGTGGCAAACATTGCGTGCAACAAATGCTTGAGTACTGGCGGTCGAGTGGCAGCCCCTACAGTCGCTTGACGTTGGGCAAAGTACGTCAAAAACAGGAACGATGAAGCCTATGTAGTATACATATTAGCATGAGAAGTGTGGTTGGTTTTAATGGAGAACGTACCTGTGGCAGCTCGAATTTGTGCTCGAGGAATGCCGAATAACACGCTGCAGCGTTTAATTCCCCCGGTGGAGAGCTGTCGAAGGCGGCAAAGCCTAAAACACGTTCGGGTCTCGTCGGATCTGTTGCTGTGAGTGCCAGAAACGACGTCTCGATGACGGCGCCCAACAGCGCGCGACCGAAATACGACCGACGAGCCTCTTTAGTGGGCGAATCCAGCTCGAGCACCCCGTTCTGATCGCCATGTTCACTGCGACGGATAGCGTAGAGCTCGGCGTGATCCATCCCGATGCTCAAGTGAATAATGAAGGGTCGACTGTGGCTTTTCATGAGAAGGCGTTTCGTTCAACCCTGTGTACATTTACTTTACATACGTGTTGCACCCACTCTACGGAATCTCGAGACTGCTTTCTCGCATGGAGCCACGTAGGACTTCGAGTTTGTCGCGGACGTACCACAAAACTTCGGGGTTTTGTAATACCAGCTGCTCGAATCTGTTATAAGTGATACCGGTCGTGTTTTCTGCCTGAGCTTGACGTAACGCGGCTGCAACACTCGCTTCAGAAACGCCGTAGAAGTTGCGTTGGAAGCGAAGTAGTTGTTCCAGTTCAGAGGCGTCGATGACTCCGTTGTTATCAAGATCATAGAGACGGAAAGCGAATTTCGCCAAGGCGTCGTCTCCCTCGTTGATATTCTGCGGGTTTAGTGCACGTAGAGCCAAGCACAATTCCCGGAAATCGATGAGCCCACTGTCGTCTAAATCAACGAGGTCGAAGAGCTGATCAACGATCACAGGATCGTCATTAGGGAACAGTGCACGTAGCTCCTGCATAGATAAGTGGCCGTCCTTATCAAGGTCGTGGCGACGGAAGTAGCCCACCAGGCGATCTACGTCACCTCGCTTTAGTGCCGTTAGCGAGATCACTTCACCCACGTCTGTCAGTGGTACGACGTGTTTTGTGGCGTAGTCTCCGACACGCATCAACATGGCTACATCTTCAAAAGCGTGGTTCGTTGTGGGAACTCCCAGCGCTTTGGCCATTACCTCACGCACATTAATAGCGTATAATTGAGGGTCTTTCCGTTCTCGCTCCGACGGGTAGTACGCTGGTAGAATCTCCACTTCCAATCGGTTGTACACCTGACACAACACACGTAACGCCAAGTACAACCCAGAAACCCCAGGTGGCCAACTCAAATCGAAGTGTTTGTAGGGGTACCGTAGTACAACCGGCTGACACGGTACACCTGAGACGAAAGACCCGACCTTGAATTTACACAGTACCGTTTGATTCGATGTAGTGCCTTCCGGGAATACAAGAAGCGGAGGCTTACTGGGATCAGCAACATGTGACGTGATGTCATTCATCGCTCTTCTACGTCCTTCGGGTGTTCCTCTGTCGATCAGAATCGGTTGAATCATCTGCACGATTCGACTGATCAATGGGAGGTTAGCTACGTCCGTCTTCATGGCGATACTGGGCGATAGCAACGTGAAGATGTAGAGTCCGTCGAAGAAGGTCAAATGGTTGCTTACGATGACGCGTGGCATGGCATGACGATTAAAATTCGGAGGGTATTTCACTGGAACCCAGTAGTAACCCACGATGAGCATCAGTGACCGTAGCAGATACGGCACAGGCGAACCGACGATACGTCTCCAACGTGGCAGAGGTGGACGAGCTCCAGAGTGAGCGTCCAATGGTTTGTACCCAATGAGAGCCAAGTGACTTACGATGACGAGTAGAATGCCCACACAGAGTAGCAGTACGAAACGAATGAATGGGACTCCTAAGAGACACAAGATGGTCATCTTGGCCTTCTCGTACGTGTCCACCGGTGTCGTGTACGTGAACGGATTGTGCTTGATAGTGGAGGCCCCACAACTGGACGAGGCGGTCACGTAGACCCCACCTGCTATCGCCGCTGACTCGGACGGTGAGACTTTGACCCCCATGTCGATTGCATGGGACAGAGGCGGCTCGAGCTGCTCCAATGCTGCGTATTCCGGCTCTCGCGAAGGAGGAGGAGAAGTGGAGGCTTGTAATAGCGCGGTGGTGCTCATTTCTTAGCGACCAAGACAGGAATAGAGGCGATTTGTTCGTTGAATTAGAACTCGGTGCGTTGCTTCCGACCTTGGACTCCAATCGACGAATGACCAGCTGATGACGGCGGTTCTGGCAGAACGCAAGGCCAAGACCACTGCATCCGGAAACATGTATCCGCTCCGAACTTTTCTGCCTGCTTTGACTTGTTATTGCGATAAAGATGGTTTTGGCTCTGTTTTGCTACTCCATACAACAACGAAGGTTTGACATTGACATAGCTGATATAATCGTGATAGCCCATTTAGACCGTAATTTGTTCTAAAAGGTTTGTGAGTTCATTACATGTACCTTTTCTATTACAAAGGGCGGCACAATGTGCCGATGTTATGGCACGCTGTACCACTGGAACTCTGAAAAACCTTTGCGGTGACTCTTTGTTTGTTCGGGAACAGTATTACGGCGCTTTTAACTACATGTAGTCGAGTGGGATCTTGATCTTGACTGAGTGTTTAAACGCGCACAACGCCGTACACAATAGAATCGGAGTCCGATTCTATTGTGTACGATTATTGGACTAATTTGCCTACAGAATTGACTTTATTTACGCTTAGGAAAAACGGCAACGAAATGTAAAAATGCTGGCATTGCTTAACGCCTGCTCACTACCCGCTTACGCGCTGCAGGCTCTAAAAGGGCAGTTCACCCGAGATGACGTCGGCACGGCCAATGACGTACACCTTGGCTCCCAGTTCGGCAATCTTCTCATGCGGGAGGATGTTGCGGCCATCAAAGAAGAAGGCAGGCTTGGTCATGTTCTCGTAGATCTTGGCGTAGTCCAGTGTCTTGAACTCGTCCCACTCAGTCAGCGCAGCGATAGCGTGCGAGTCCTTAGCGGCCTCGTACGGATCATTGTACACCTTAAGCAGCTTGTCCATCTGCGGATGGCTGGTGCTGTTGACGCCCTGGTATTCGAGCTCATGCATCATGTCTTCCAGCTTGACTTGAGGGTCGTACACAGCCACATTGGCCTTCTCCTCCAGCAGATACTTGACGATCGTAGCGGCAGGCGTCTCACGCACATCGCCAGTGTCTTTCTTAAAGGCAAACCCGAAAATACAGATCTTCTTGTTCGTCACCGTGTTAAACATACGACGGATCATGGTCGTAGCGAAGCGAGTCTTCTGATACTCGTTCATGGTGACCACGTGGCGCCAGTATTCGGCCACTTCCGGCAAGTGGAAGCTCTCTGCCAGGTATACTAGATTCAAGATATCTTTCTGGAAGCACGAGCCTCCAAAGCCGACCGAGCAGTTCAAGAACTTGGCGCCAATACGGTCGTCCGCACCAACCGCACGAGCCACTTCGTGCACATTCGCGCCGGTAGCTTCACAGACGGCCGAGATCGAGTTGATACTCGAGATACGCTGAGCCAGGAAGGCGTTGGCCACGAGCTTCGAGAGCTCAGAGGACCAGACGTTCGTGGTGATGATGCGTTCGCGCGCGACCCAGTGCGCGTACACGCTCACGAGCTTCTCGACGGCTTGGTGACCTTCGGGAGTCTCGGCTCCACCAATCAGAATACGACTTGGCTTTTGCAGGTCGTCAATAGCCGTCCCTTCGGCTAAGAACTCGGGGTTAGAGAGCACCTCGAAATTAAGACCCTTCGAGTTCGCGCGCAACACGGCCTTGATGCTCTCGGACGTACGCACGGGCACGGTGGACTTCTCGACGACGATTTTGCCCTCCGTAGCCACGTCTGCGATCTTCCGTGCACAAGCTTCGCAGTTCTTCGTGTCGGCAGCGCTGCCAGCGCCAATACCGCTGGTCTTCGTGGGTGTGTTGACACACACGAAGATGATGTCGGCTTCGTTAATGTACTTGTCCAAGTCTGTGGAGAAGAAGAGGTTCTTGTTGCGACGTGCGTCCACAAGCTCTTTAAGTCCGGGTTCGTAGATGGGGATGTCGTCCGGCGTGTTCCATTTGGCGATCTGCTGTGCGCTCACGTCCACGACGACCACTTTGATGTCTGGGCAGTTGGCAGCGATCACGGCCATGGTGGGACCACCCACGTAGCCAGCGCCCATGCAACAAATGGTCATTTTAAACTCAGACATGGTTGATATAGAAATTAGTCTTCTGGCGTCTTAAGTGCTCGGAGCGGCGACTTGGATGGCACGTGGCAGATTCAATAATGTGTCCTGGGATCTGGGGCGACGGTTTGTCGATGTGTGGCAAAGTTAGCTCCAAACTTAAACTGAGATGTGATTGGTTTACTTTTGAGCGAATGAGAGGCGGAAATTCCTGGCCGATCTTAGGCTAGAACAGCAATATGACGACGACAAACTGAAGCGTGACTCCATGTATTAATAGTTTGAGAGTTCGTGAGGAGCATACATTTTGCCATACGGTTGGATGGTAAGTGTATGTTGGGATCACTTTTTAGACTGAAGTCTGGTTTGGTCCCCCCTCGGACCAATCATACCACGGACATAATCACAGAGGAGGTGGATTGCAGCGCAAAAGCACAAAATTTACTGGATATGTTACCTGCACACTAAACTTGTAGCCCATGCACTTAGACGCATGGATCTCCCGCCGGCCATCTCGACTATCTTCCTACGGTAGTTTGCGCTGTAAAGGGTCTCAGCATACACAATCTGAAGTTAATCCCATCTGTAAGCACTTCAACGAGGTCGGGCTGTCGTTTTTCGCCTGTGTTCCGCATGGTGAGCCCGATGGAAGGCGCTCGCAACTATTTTACTTCGAAGTACATTGCATTTAATTGAAAAAGAGGTCCTTCAAATCACCCAGACAATTGGCACAAAGGCGTCACGTACGTCGAGCGGATGTTTTATCCAGAATGAGGAAAGACTGATCACTGAAACAGTGTCTGAGTCAATTGTTGACAACAGAATCCAACGTCATCCGACGACCTGGCGTAGATTGATTTCCATGCTGTACATGTTTATAATACAGAGGTGTACACTACATGTACATGTACTTGGAATGTATGTCTTAGTTCGTAATACATTATCGATTGGCGCTGATGCGCCTTGCGTCACGCAGGTAATCTCCTGATTCGGAGCAAAACGTAATTTACACTACTGTCACCGGACATTCGTGTATTATATGTGCTTGTTTCCGATTCTCGATTCTCTTGACGCGATGAGCTCGTGCTCGGAATTCCTTGCCGGAACCGGCCTCTTCATCTTCAACGGTGTGGACTTGCTCGCGGGTATTGCGCTCTGCATCTACAGCTGTTACATTGGCTCGAGCCACTATGCTCCATTGTGGTTATATGGTGCGTCGCTGTCCGAATTAATCGGTTCTCAATGTCTAACCATTTATATCCAGTCCCCTTGTTGACAATTGGCAGCGTTCTGATAATCGCGTCGCTTATGAGCGGCTTCGGACTCGCGTTCCGAAGCTGTTCTGGATGTATGGCCCTATCATCCGACGTCTTGCTTTGGATCTCACTGGCCGAACTTGGTTTGGCCGTCGTCATCTTCACTCAAGGAGGGGCCATAGACAACTTCTTACGTGAACACAGCAGCGAACTCAAGCTCAGGTATGTTTTGGTTGTCTCTTGATATAACTATGAAAATGCAGCTAACAATTTTTGAATAATTATTCTCTTTGCAAATAGTGGAGAGGAATTGGCGCAGTACGAGCGCCACAAGTTCTATCCGGCGTGCGCTCTGCTGGCCTTGTGCTTGATGGAAGCTCTACGTCAACGCTACAGTACGACGCTGCACAACGCACGTCTTCGTCGTCAACACCAGTACGAATTGCTGGCTTAAATCTACCATTTACCCCTTCATAAAAAGCAATATGTAGGAAAGATCAAATTATATTAGCGAGATTGTCCTTTCACTAATGAATCGTGTTTCGATAGCCGTCGTCTGTGTGGCCATCACACGAATTTATACCATCGGGCTTAACAATTTCAGACGTGGCCGCTCTGGGACGTTCATTCGCTCGTTGACACTTGACTTTCTTGTCCTTTTTGCAGCCAAAGCCCAGCAACTCGAAGCACTTGTGCGTCCAGGACTTCACCCTGAGACCGAAGCCCTTGACACCCAACCCTTTGACGATCACCAGCTCAGCATGTTGCACTTCATCGACCGAATTGACATCGAGCGTGAAGTTCGAGAGGAAAGGCAACTCATCACGATGGAAAGCATACAACACCGAGAGCTTGTGCGTGTCGTGCTTGTGGTGCTTGGTCTCGGTAGTAGTAGCCGCGTTGTCCTCGTCTTGCTGCTTCAAACGAGCAACAGTCGAGACGGACGGATCGCCACACACAGACCGGAAGCCGCTGGTAATGACAGGTCTGTTGCAGCTCTCGGGTAGACACAGCAAGACGCAATCTTTGTCCTTGAAGTGTTCAAAAACTAAATAAAAAACACAATATCAACATTAGAAAGTTCTAAATATTAGAACTCGACGGATAAATCTGAAACGTACCATTTGCCAGGAACAGTGACGCACGCGTTTGGTACATTGAGTTCATGCTGAAGAGCGAGATGATGGCCGCATTGTTGCGTAGCAGGCAGCGCTCCGCCCCACCCAGCAGCTGCTCTGCTACCTGGTCGACGGAGCGCGTTCCGTCCGCTTGGATCAGCTCACACACGCCGCTTAATGTCGACACGACAGCCTCACTGTGCGCATAATATTGCTGCAGTCGAGTACGCACCGTCTCCTCTGTGTCATCGCTGCGTTGAATCACACGAGCAGCCACGTCCGAGGGCGGAGGGTTGAGCTCCATGTGGTACGTTTTGCCAGTCTCGGGGTCGAGACGTCGACCAGCGATGCGCTTGACCACTTGGTCGTCTGCCACGTCCAGTGCCAGCACACAGTCCGGAGCGATCCGTGCAGCCAGCAGCGCGAGCGCTTGAGCTTCTGTGCGTGGGAAGCCGTCCAGCAGCCAGCCACGGGACTTGCAGTCTGGTTGAGCCAGCCGCTCCAGCACGACACCCACAATGAGCTCATCAGGAACCAGCTGGCCATTGTCCATGTATCCTTGCGCTTGTTGACCCAGTGAAGTGCTGTCGCGAACCGCCTGACGAAGCATCTCGCCCGTAGACAAGTGCACGACGTCCAAGGCACGTACGAGGAGTTCACATTGCGTGCCTTTGCCACTGGCTGGAGGCCCCGTGATGATCAACTGTGGCGGGTTTCGAGCTCGAAAGGGCCCTCGAGACCCTCGCGCTCGATGGATCTCCAGCACCAGTTTCTTTGTCGTCGCGTCACGAGATTTCGCAGCGTCGACGTGGACCACAGTGGACATCTTGACGAAGGTCTGCTGAACTGCCTCCCGGTGCTCTCGATACACTGCGAGTCGTCGACCGACGGGGGCGTCACTGCTGCCTCCGACGTCTCGCTGACTCGCGTCGTCATCGGAGAGTTCCAGAATGGCTACAACATCGGGTTTGTAACCTTGACTCAATAGAACTCGCGCCTGAGTCTCTGTGCGAGGATACCCCTCCACTAACCAGCCTCGAGTCTTGCAGTCTAATTGACTAAGACGATGCAGTACGATTTCTTTGACGATGGCGTCTGGAACGAGGTCTCCGGCGACTAGGAACCGGCTCACGTCAGTGTACTTGGGGTCACTCGCTGCTTGCCGCAATAAGTCTCCAGTGCAGATGTACACCACACCAAACTCTCGAGCCAACCTCGTGCTTTGAGTGCTCTTGCCAGCTCCCGTGGGGCCCAGGACGATGAGGTTGGGTGGTCCACCACAAGTCCGAGTCAAATGTCTCGTCTCAGCAGTGGGGGAAGGTGGCGTGGGGGCGATCGACGTCTTTGCAGCCTCGTCGGGCATTGCATTCGCCTGGCGATACATGGCTGAGAAGAGACGAGCGTACGCATCCGCTTGGTCTGTGTCGATGGAGTCTGTACACGCCAATACACCACACGGTTGTTGAGTGTCCACACACTGCGCTAAGAAGCACGCTCGGTGTTCGTCTTGGTTGGACAAGACTCGAGTGGGGTCCGTAGCAGCGTCGAACCACGTGTTGCGTTTGGTCTCTTCGTTCTTCTTCACCATCGTCTGAAGCTGGTCGATCTCAGTCTCGGTACAAAGAGGCTGACGTATGAAGACACTGGGAGTGTAGTCTGTGCGAACGGCACGGTAGAACATGAGTAGGCCACCAGTACTGAGCCCCACGGCTTCGTAGCACGAGAACGTCTGCGCCAACACGCCCAGCTCCTCCAAGTCCACACCCACGTGCACTGCAAGGACGACTCCACCAAGTTCCGGTCGCGTTATAAACAATTGATGCAGTAGAGCCGTTAGTACCTTGCGTTCACTAGCGACTGCCGCGTCGTACCGGAACGCCAGGAGCAGTAGACATCCACGAGGTTTGCCGAATCGAAGCCTCTTCTTTAGATAGTCACGGACTTCGGGCCAACGCGCCAGAGCTGCAGGGATCTGGTCATCGAACGACGCGAAACCAGCGAGTGTTGCTTGACTTGTAGCGACATTTTCTTCCGTCGAACTAGCCGGCGTGGTGTCCTTGATCTCGGCACAAAGCGTGACTTGCGACGTCTCGATCAACGCGCCGGCATGGGTGAGGCCAAACAATTGGCGACGCGTGCTTGCCTCAGGTGCAGGCAGCAATTCCACCGACGCTTCGTCGGCTTCGACACATGCACGAACCACCAGGTCCATTGTCTCGCTCAAGCCTTTTAAGCGAACGCTTTTCACTGTAACTCTCGAGGTGGACAGGAAACAGTCGGACAGGAATAACGGACTATTTCAAAATGGCCTGACGTTCGATATCCTCGAGCACACCCACTGCGGGCTGTATGATGCCCTGGGTTGTTGGGACAGCGTTCATGGTATCATCGAAGCATGTTTTTCTGAAGAATTCCATTTGTACCATATTATCGGTACATCTTTCTGGCTCACGTCACTTCGAAACCAGGATGGCGCCACGTACCGACGCGACCCCCGACACGCCGGAGGCCGGAGCTATGCGCATGTTGATGCGGTTCTTGTCCCCTTATTACGTCTGCAACGCCGTGGCACTGCTCATGTATGTGCCAATCCGCTATCAGCGCAGCAGCGAGGCCCTGCTTGAGCGAGAAAACTTCCTCAACTTACCACTGGTACAGCCTCATTTAACAAATATTCCATCAAGTTACTGTACCTTTCTACAATTCGACTAACTTTAAAAAAAATTAACTATGCAGGAACAAGAGATATTCCTGCTGGCATTGGGCTCGTGGATGCTGAATTACCGCAAAAAGGCGACAGCGGATGGCGTCGTCGCGCTCTTTTTCATGTACGGCAAAATTGCTGTGCTGGCCTCACTCTACTACTTGGACATCACCCTTTTCGGGTGGTACGCTGTTGTTTGTCTCGGTAACTATGTGAAGAGCTAGGATATCTCATGTGAAGGTGTTGCTAACGTCTTTATTCATTGTGTCTAGCGCTGTTTGCGGCGGTGGGACAACCGAAGTATGAAGGCCCCTCCAAGATAGCCGAGCTGGATCCAGCTGCAGTGGAGAAGTTAGTCAAGAAATCTACTGGATCGAAGAAGAAAGGGCCACCTAATTCTTGGCTCGTTTTCTACTACGCCGACTGGAGTGATTCTTGTGTGGAGCATGAGCCCATGCTCGCAGATCTCTCGCTCAGGTTTGTGGCGTTCAAGGTGATGTGCTGGAGCTGAGATGCTAACGGATGATGACATTACGGAGCAGATACTCGTCGAGCACGCTACAATTCGGCAGGGTGGATGTGAATAAGTGGTCGGATCTGGCCGTCGAGAACCGGATTAGCGTATCAACGTCGTCGTGGCAACTACCAACGTTGATCCTTTTCCAGGACGGAGAAGAAGTCATGCGCTTACCACCAATTGATGAGAATGGAAAGGTCACGAAGACGGTGCTAGACCGGGTAAGGCTGCTGGAGTTAGTGGACTTCTGTGGACGAATTACTCATAGTTTTACTTGGTAATTGGGTCAGGTGGGGCTTATTTCTGTTTTCAAACTTCAGGAGCTGAAGGAGGGCAAGCCGACCGCATTTAAACCGAAAACAAATTAGGGATTGGAGAATCACCTACCATTTGAGACATCCCCGCCTTGGGACAACCGCTTCAGAAACGCATCCTTAATAACTGTAGAGCACTGACGGTAACTCGTAATTCTCACTTTGAATGCAACGTGGACCACGTTATGTGGCACTACAGTAGCCTGAGTCAAGGTCTCAATAATCTGAGCATCTTGCACTTGTTGTATGTACAGTTGCCAACGAGACTCACTGTCTCATGAGCTCTTTGACGAATCGCGAAAGCTTTCCTATGCCTCATTCTCCTGCGCGCTTCTATTTTACCAAGGCGCTCGAACCAGCAGAGACTGGTGTCCGAAAATGCTCCACCTCATCGACAAATCGAGCAGCGAATCGTGACCGTTAGTCGCCTTCAGTAAGTGGTATCTGCAGCTAATGTTCCAATTCGGCGAGTAGCATAACGCGACGCCTTCCGTGGCTGATTACAGCCACCGGTATAGTTCCAGCAGAAGTATTGCTGATGTCACGCGAAACTGGCACTGAGTTTCATGTCCGAAGAACAAGGGGTATCCTGGCAGGGCAGGATTCCTGTGTGTGTAAATTGTGGAAAGAAACACGCTCTACGTGGTGCAACGTCGCCTTAATTAGCGCGAGTACATGTGTCGTGCACTGCACCGGCCATTGCTGACCCCGAGTCGTCTCAAGAAGACTCGACCACTTGACTAGATTGGCGGTTAGTTCGCTCAGAGGTTTAAGGACCCGTTACAATACTGTCCCTCACGCAAGCAGCTGTGTCCACGAGCACGTGTTGCCGTCAGCTGAGCCGACGCTTTATAACGAGTCATGCGTGGAGCATTACACTCATCGGATTTAGTGGACATCCTCAGGACTGTTGATATCGCATTCAAGAAAAATTCCACAGCCTTTCGCCAAAAGGTAACGTCTACCGCCAGGTCGGCTACGATACCAGCTTTAGGAGCCGTCCACCCCAACGAAGGATCATTTTCGGATTCAGCGGCTACTAGACAACAGCTACTCGAATTTCACTATGGCCAGCACTCTCACTGCGAGTCTCAAGACTTCCCCCGTGGCCCCTAGACGTCGCTCGCGCTCGGAGGGATCCACAAAAGCGGCCGAGGAGCTCCAGGCGTCGCTAGCACAGGCACAACACACACGCTTCTCGATGACGGAGCTGTACGTTCGAACATCCGACGGTGTGGTCTTCCAGGACGAAGATTTTCAGCGGGAGACTGTCGCCAAGGCTGAACGGCTAGTTGAGACGGCGCTGAGCCCCGAGAGCTCGGAACGCAACGCACTTATCGCCAAGAAGGCGCTCAAGTACCGCGAAATGCGCTCGCGACGACCGAATAAAGAGATGCGACAGCCCGAGATGGCTTTTCGAATGCAGAGCTGCCCCGTGCCGACCGGACCTTAGACTTCAACTGAAGAACGGCTATACATGTAGAAATGCCGTAATTTCGTATAAACCATAGACGCCCGCCCACACACATTTTAAAGTATTATTTTTACACGCGCTCTTCTTTTCTTTATTAAAAACCATTTTTTAAACAAAAGTGCTTCTTAAAAAAAACGCGTTTTCTTTTCAAAAACAAAACAGATTTCGCTTTAGTGGCATCAGAGAGTGCTTTTTTGATACGCTTTTTAAAAAAACTGCTCTTCAATTGAACAGCTGATCATATAGAGAATCATGTGCGGCGACTCCTGCGGCGAGTGCTGCTCTGGTAGCGCTCTCTTCGTCTTTAACGGCATAGACCTCCTATGCGGCGTGGCGCTCACTGTCTACAGCCTCTACATCGGTACTACCATTTCTTTTCTGCCGCTTTTCATTATTTCATCTAAATAATTTTGCATATAACAACAGGACTCAACCACTTCGCCCCGGAATGGCTGTACGAGCCCATACTGGCCGTGGGGGCTCTACTCATCCTCTCCGCTCTAATGAGCTGGTGTGGATCTTCTAATCGGAGCTGCTCCGTGTGTCTCTCGTGCTCTTCGTATCTACTGATTCTGCTGGCTTTGGCCGAATTGGTTCTGGCTGTTGTGATTCTGACTCAAGGATCCACAATTGATCAGTTCTTGCGCGAACATCAACAAGAACTCAAGATCAAGTACGTTGATTTTTTTATTCTTATCTGAGGATTTTTAAAGCTTACTTGAGTTTTTTTTTTAAGTGATGAGCAATTGCGGAGACTTGAAGGGGACAAATTCATCCCAGCCTACGGACTCTTGACACTGTTCGTGATGGAAGTGCTCAGGTTCTGTTGCAGTAGCGAGCTCCACCGTGCACGACGTCACAGGAAATACCACTACAAACAATTGAGTACACTTCGGGATCTGGACGATGAATTGCTAGCAGTCAAGAAAGAAAAGGTGGGGAAGTTGTGGATTTTTTAGCGCTATTTCCGATAGTAATAAGCAGGTTTGTTCGTGTAGGATATTTCAAGCAAGTACGCGTCGCTCAAGGACAAGTACAAAAAGAAATACGTGGCTATACCCGTGATCGAGGATTCGAAAGAGGTGGACCCATTTTACGTGTAAAGTGAGGGAAACCTCGCATCATATTTGTGTACTTAGTATTTCAATTTCTTAAAAAAAAGGTGATGGTCGCTACAATGAGACTTTAAGTCGGTGTGCGATCGATCGAAGCGCGAGATGCAGTTCGTCATGGCATTGACCACATTCAATGGAGTTTGTAGCCATTTGCTGGACAACTTGGTCAATTTTATCTTGGTGATCAGCTTCCATCGCTTTCACTTCGGTACTTAACGCCCGGATCTCTCGCGAATAAATTTCCATGCCTTCGTCGACTGCACATCGGATTCGAGTGTGATTTTTCAACAAATTGTCAACAGCATTCTTCGTGCGATATTCTTGAGAAGAGACGGCATCGGAGAGTGTATCCAAACGTTGAGTTAGTTGCGTTTTGTCCAATTTGCCTTGTCGATCAATACTTTCTTGCAATGTCTTGAGTTTGCCTACCCACTGCGACTGTTGCTTTGATACTACGCCTCGAAGTGACGAGTATTCGTTTGCAAGTACCTGAACATCACTCGCCAGTGTCGAGGTAGTTCCAATCGTTTGTTCTTTAAGACCAAATACCTCTAATTGGAGGTGGCTACTCTCCTCTTTGAGTCGTTTTAGAGCATCCATCGCATCTTCTTGTGACATCTGTAAGGATTTCTGTAATTGTGCAGCTTCTCGCTCACGGGTCATGAGATCTTCTGAGGCATTTTTTACATGGGCCAGCTCCGATTGAGTCTCGTAAATTAACAATTCGATCTTCGAGCAGGTCTCTTGGACACTAAGAAAGCGCCGGTCCGATTTTTCTTGATGTTGTCGACGTTTGCCATCCATACGTGGCACTTGAGACTCTAAGACGCCGACGGAATGTTCCAACTTAGCAACACGATCTTGGAGTTGAGATGTCGTGGCCGCAAACTGCTTTTGGAACTCCTCTGATAAAACAATTAACGTTAAAAAAAAAAAAGCAATACAAGTAAATGTGCGTAAGTATCTTACCGACTTCACATGTGAAGACATCAGATAATGAGTTGAAGGCGTTTTGCAGCACATCGACCTAATACAAAAATAAAATTATTGTTAGCGATTACTAGCACATTTAAAATAAAAATAATGAATGTGAAGAATCACCTTGCCAGCCAATTCGTGCAGAGCTTCATCTCGCTGGGTTACTTCTTGGCTTTGAATCTACAGGCAATCGTTTCCTTTAGTTTTAAATTAGTGCCCTATAATTTATGATTTCGTACTTGAAGGTTGTTCTTGAGCTCTTCGACGTCCGATGCTAGAGCACTCTACACAAGTTTGGATAAAATAACAGCACAATGGGAGTAGTGATCATAAGAACGCACCGTCTTCTTGGTCAATGATACAGCGGATAATGACTTGGTGGTCGTGGCTACGGCCGCTTTGGAGCTCTCTGTGGGCCGACGCAGGACCATGGCCGGGCAGCTGAACAGAGCTGACTTCTCACGCAACGCCACAGGCCTTCACGGTGTCCGTTATTGTCCGTTTTACTCCGGAAAAGGTGGTGCAACCTGAGACGCGGAGCTTTAGCTGGGATAGCTGGCCCTTTCCGCCTCTCCCTCTTAAGTGCTGGATGGTCGTGTCGTCTTCGCCTTGCCAAGGTATAACTGCTTTTGCAGTCCCGAGCAGTCATTATAGAGCTTATGGTTACAAGTCTTGGACAGACTACGATTCGCACGTCTGAATTGCGTACCAAGCGCTCGGATCGGACAGTCTAAAGTGTCGATTGTTGCGACTTTCTGCCGTGCGTAAGGCTGCATGAAATCTATGCGGCTGTAGCAAATAGAGGAGCTGTTCGGAAGCGTCCAGCTAATCTAGTTTTGAGTTATTCTGCGACTCAAAGAAAATAATTTCCAATGAATCCGCTGGCTGGTGTGTTCGGATCTCCAACGGCGCGAGCAACTTACGGATGATCGTAGCCGGAGTTCGTGCTGAGCACCTGCGTTAGCGGTAATTTCTCCGTTTAACAGCTTTACGCCACCAGCCAGCAGCAATTTCTCTCGCGTCGTCAAAAGGCATCTCCGGCCAACTGGCGACCGTGTGAATTGAAACCACCACCCCTCTAGCCCATTGCGAGCAGATAAATATTCATCTTTATGCCTTGGATGGCTTTAGCATAGCACAGAGAAGTCCTCAGCTGCAAGGGTTCGCTATGAACTTCTTGTGACTACATGTAGCTACTTTTGCCAAGACAATAAGAATCTACTTGAAGTGGGCGCCTGGTTTATGTAAAGATCGGGCAGCTCATTTAAACTCAGCGCGAAATGACAATTGGCCAATCCACGCGCTGCATCGGAACGATACCAGGAATTATCAACCAATCAGAAAGCAAGAGATCACCACACGGTATCCGTAGGGCCCGACCAAAGTTGCACGTTGAAGCCTCATTTCGAAGACTTGATGCTAAGAGCTCTCGTAGATCCTTCGGGCTTCGGCAGGTATTCATCGAAGCGCGGTGAGACTCACAAGAGCTTCTTGTTGCCAACTATGACGAATTTTCAGCCAGCGCTGGCTGTTTCAGCGTACTGGGCTGAGATGAGATGCTGCCAAAGTCTCACCAAGCTGCCAAATTCGACACTGGTCTATAAGCAGCTTTCGTACGCCTTAAAGTCTCTGCCACAAATGAACATCTTTGCTTCAAGCATGCCCATCCTTGCGAAGCTGCAGTTGTTCTGGTGCCTCAAATAGACGCAAAATGCATGCAAAACTCAGTAGGATTCGGACTGAAAAAGTGTGCCAAAAATCGCACTGGGATGAGTGGCGACGGAAATTTCCATAAATGTCTGTCTGGCCACACCCACTCAGCCCCCCAAATGGGTCTTCATTCGGAGATTTGCTCAGTCCGTAACAAGTTCCACTCAACGCTCATGGCCTCAGTCGCGCCGCCTCGCCGGGCTATGTCCGAAAGCTACAAACACACGTATCTAGCCACTTTGAGTGAAGACACGGAGGATCCGCTAAGCTCGCAGCCGCTGCCCATTGGGCCGGTGGACGACCACCACCCGCTCGTATTGGCTGTAGACCACGATGGTGAGCCTTTACTGGCGCTACAACACCGCTCCAAGTCCGAGGGCTTCATTTGCACGGCCCAGGGCATCGTGTTTGAGGACAACAAGAGCGTATATAGCTCCAAGCTCAGTAGGCTCAAGGCGTTGGCCTCTAACTCGAACGCCCTGGGCACGCAGAGTAACGTGCTGTTGGCCAAGAAGGCGCTCCGGTATCGTAAAGCGATTGGGCGGCGCCGTAAGATGGAGTGAAGTCAAGTCTCCTCCATGGCCTCGCGTCGCCAGACGGTCGTCTGCGATTATTAGAAGCGGCGTGGCAATCGACCTGGACGCTAAAATGACGAGTCATCCACCCCATTGCGACGCTGGAGGCCTATCGAGAAGAGGACGGGGGCTGTGGCTGCATGTGAGGCAGCTGCAGCTTAATTATTATCATAGTTGTGTATTTTACCCTTCGAGTGCAAAGGTGACTCCGCACTGAGTTAGGGATGTTTGTTTCTGAGTTGTAGTGCAATAGCATGTTGAGAGAAAATCGCAGCGATTTACGCTATCGATTATGTGTCCCTGAATTTCATTTCTTTGCGTATATGGAGCAGTACATGTAGCTGCTGGAGCTCACGGACGACTTGTGTGCTTGGATGGCCGTACTACAGCAAGGTACCCTACAAACTTTATTTTCCAAAAGCAGGTACTTATTTGACCCCTCTAGCCCCGCGATTTAGGGCAAAAGTTACCCTGTATTATACAGGATAGTGTTTTATCTTGATTTTAGTATTTGCGGAGTTTTGCGAAGCTCACAATCCTTACTCCTTATCTACCCTGTTCCCTACAGGTTATCAGGCAATGTACGGGATCGTGTACTCTGTATTAACCAGGATTAACACAATGAAGATGTAGAGAAAAATTCCAAGATTCTACAAATGCATTCACTCTAACGGACTACAATCATTCCTAGTGTTACGCGGCTGACACTTCATACAGCTTTGTATTAGATGTATGCTGTTTCAATACTGCCTACGTGTCCTGCACTAACCTCGATTTCTGCCTCCCTTGAAGATTCGTTGTCCGAGCTTTCTTATTCATCGCTGTCATCAATATTTTCTCCAGTGCGGTGCGAGCTTGAGCCGCTTGGTGAGCGCATGTGAATTGTCTTCAATCCAGGGGGTATACGAGCACCAGCGCCCCAAAGGTTGTGCCAAATCTGGCTGCAAGTTGCTGAGTTTATTGATCCAGACGGGTCGTGCTGGCGAACCTTTTGGCATAGGTAAATCTTTCCTCGTGCCCCCGACTGGCGATTTATTCTTTCCTCTGAGCGCTCAACGCAGTAAAACGTAGTCTCCCACGGTGTCTTTGCCGGGCGAATAAATGAACACACTTTGTATCCGTACTGACGTCTTTTGCTTGATTCTTTTCCATTTTTTGCTCTTGTCGTGCGGAAAATATCCACTTGGCGAGGTGTGTGATGGGCCGGGAGTGTGTAGCGAGGGTGTGTCGACGGCACAACGCTTGTATCAACCAAAGCTTCGACAGATAGGTCTCCTACGAAGTCGGCAGCTCCCACGTTCAGCAATGCGACTTGCATAGATCTCATGAATTCTGCGTGCGTGGGTGGAGCACGACCTGGGTTCAATCTTGCTTTGACGCGGCGATGGATGATGTAGGCATTGACTAACGCCATGTCAATGAGTCCGAGAAAGATAGTATGATAGTACTTCTTCATTTTCATCGCTCCCTGTAGTGTACAGGATAACAATTGTCAATATGAAACCAAAGTAGTGAAGGATACAAATGGTAGTACCTGTATTGAATATCGCTGGAGCCGCAACTGATCATGTATATCTGCGCCTCCCATGCCTTCTTGGTAGGCTTTGACGAGCTGGGGTGCTGGGACGTCAACAGTGTCAGCGCCTGCACGTCTTACCAAACTTACCACACCAATACCGCAGCCCGTGGCAATGAAGTGAACGAAACGGTTGTCCATCCACGAAACGGCCACCATGCTTGGCTCTACCTTTGACTGTGCAATTCGATACAGCCCTCTCTTCATCTTCTCTGGCCTCTTGGCTTGCTTGTATGGAATCGTGTTGCAATATCCGCGCCGGTTCGTCTGAATGGTGCCCACGTGATAAAGACCCCGTTGTAGGAGAATCGAAGACAGCAGCACGCTCGAGTAGAACCGATCCGTAATGACGAGTCGTTTTTCGGCAGTCCGTCGAGCACAGCATCAAGGTTGCGAATTACCGCGTTTGGTCCCTGGTTCAGATCAGCACTCTCACTCGTCAACCGCCCTTGATAGATTTCAGCCCTGCACAGGATAACAATCACAACTTGTTAGACGCTAACCTGTAGAATACATAGATTCTCTTTGACATACCTGTAGCAGTAGCCCGTTGTAGCGTCGCACGTCAAGTAGCACTTGGTACCCCATGGATGGGGCTTGGCACGAAGGTATTGCCGCATGGGGTTGTACTTGCTCTTCATGGGTATCATACCTTCATCAAATGCAATGCGCTGTCCAACACTCATGCCTAACTTGAACGTCTTATTGATGGTATCGGCAATGGGCTTGATCTTCCAAGTCTTGTATTGCTTTGCGGCGGCGTCGTTGTTGTTGCTAAAGTGTATGAACCGCACAATTTCTTCGAAACGTTTTCTTGACATGAAACGTCCGAAGGTGCCTTTTGGTACCGCGCCTTGTGCATCGACTGCCCAGTGTTTTGCTAGCTTCTCGCGATGCGGGCATAATGTTCTTGCACATAGTAGACCAATGAAATGCACCAGTTCATGCGGCTGGATAGGCTTGAATGCGTCTAGCTCCTTCTTCAATTGTTGCAGAGTCTTCATTTTGTAGTCAAGGCGTCTCTCCTTCATGCGGCGCTGGCGAATCATGATTGATTCAATAGCTTGGGACCGGAACTGGCGCTGATAGCGATTGGACTTCTTTGCTATGGATATCCACATCTCCTTGGGGAGAAAGAGGAAGAAGAGTCCTTCCATATTACACCCGAGTGCTTGCGCGATCTCAGTTGGAGCTGCTGTGCAGTTGGTCAGACTTGCCGAAGGCAAATCGAGAGAGCTGCCTGCATTCAGCACACAGTTTTCACAGTTAGTGGATAATACAGGATAGTACAAAGAGTTTGATAAATACAAACCTGTACCGTACAGGATTATACTTACTGTCGTCTTCGAAGTATGTTGTCCAGCCCGTCTTCGCATGCTCGCTCAGGTCCTCCTTGCTCATTCTGTCAAAGGGCGTACCCACCGACAAATCCACCATATCTTCTTCATCACTTGTTTACTCGGGATCACTAGCATCACTTCCAAAACTCTCGCTGGCCGCCTCCGCGTCAGAATAGTCGCCATCCTCCAATACAAAGTCGTCTTCGTCTCCAGACTCCATTCTGTCGTCACCCGTCGATAAATCCACCAGATTTGTCGCTGCGGATACATGAGTCGGTCTCGGTGGCGTCGAAGACGTTGGTTCAATAGTTGGAGCGGTGGACTTCCTGGCTGGTTTTTATGTAGATGCTGGTGATTGCTTGGCCTGAGCCTTAGCCGGTGTCGTGGATGGGGTCGTGGCGGGTGACTTGGTCGGCGTCACTGATGGAGTCTTGGTTGGAGCCTTGGGCGGAGGCGTGGATGGGGTCTTGCCAGGTGACTTGGGCGGCGCCTGGCCTGAGGCCGTCGTAGACGATTTGCACGACGTCTTAGCTGGGGCTTTGCGTGGAGGTTTGGCTAGTGCCTTCGCTGGAGACTTGGTCTTAGCCTCCGCTGGTTTGGCCCGGGAGGTTGACTGAGCCTTGGGCGGAGATTTTGTAGCTGATGCAGCAGGTTCCATGCTCAGCTGCTTCTCAACAGGCGCCGATGCAGATGCGGATCGCTTGGCAGGAGGAACCTTATCATACAAAACTTTGAATATTAGCCACTAGATTGTAGGTCAGTACCATCCAATCGACATACCTTCCACGGGTAAATGCTTCCATACTTCATCTGGCCCATCGAAGTAGTCGACAAGACGCGTAGCGTTTGGTCTTCTTGACCAGCCTTCTGGCGTGAAGTATCGGTTTTGGTTGGATAGCCCTTTAGGTCGCTCGAATTGCCATCCTAACCTTTTTAGCTTCGTCCAGAGCTTGCCCTAAGTTATTGGCCGGATGTGCTTCCGCTTTGGCATGAGGCCGTTCTTGCTGATGTCCGTCCGATTCGCAAATGGCGCGAAATTTGCGCGCCGCTCGCTCTCCCTAAATCTCGAAAAAGTCGTAGCCACGAATTATTGCCCCGAGGTTAGCAACGTGATTATAAAACTTTATAATTCAGTGGACACTTGAAATTTGTATGGAAACACTTACTTTTTGTAATGAGGAAAATGGCCTTTTGTTATCCTGTAGAATACAGGATACGAAAATTTATATCCTGTAGAATACAGGCGGCGGGGCTAGAGGGGTTAAGAAAAAAAAAAACATTCTTTCTCAGGGTAATGAATGAGGTCACAAAGGAAACAGCAGAGTGTAGTCTCCGCTAAGCTATTTAGTCAAAAATAGGCTTGCAAAATTACCAAAACTGACTGGTCTGAGGTGCTAAATTATGAGAAATGTCACTATTGCGCAGAATGTCCTTACCGCATAACCGATCTCATAGAGCGCACCCTATGTACATCAGATCGCGGCCGTTCGTCTGGTGCATAGGATAGTACATGTACACATGTTAACAGAATTTTCCCGTAAAAAAATAAGTTACAGATGACGTCCGTATTTTTGCCAACGGTTGGCCGGGTGCCCATTCAGCCTTTCAGTGTTGGATTGACCCCGTAAAGGGTATTGAGGGGGATTTACAGTATGTCCTAGCAGGGTTGTCGCCATTATGATTAATGCTTCATCCAACACGAAAAGGTCAGTACGGCTCTATCTATTTGGTCAGTCACAACGATTCTCTAACTGCGCGTGCGTGTCTGTATAGGTCCCCCAAGACCTACTGCTGTAACTTAATGGAAAAGTTCCCTTTGTGGGAGGATAGAGGTTCGATTCCTCTCAGCGGTCTATTCTTCGTTGTCGACAAGCTACACTACCACAACAAGGTCTTCATCTACGTCAGCCGCCTCGATGTCCCTGGATGAATCAATGCTCTCCGTTGCCACGCAATGCTGCTGCAGGATCTCGATCAGCTCGTGCCAACTTGGCTCTTGATAAACTTTGCGTGCAGGCGGCGATGGCGTGACGGTATCGCAGAGATTAGTCTTTCGGAAGCCCGCAGTGATAGTAGCGCTTGACAGGGAGGCCCACGCGCTTTTGATCTAGCTGACGATGTTGTGGCGTTCCGGTGCCGCCATATTGAAAGCCACGCCAGCTCCAGCAGCTCTAACTTGTGATAATAGAAACTCAATCCACTCCTTTCGCAAATGGTTCTTGAACGGTCGATTCCAAGCAACATCAGCAGGCTGGCACACATACGTATACCCTGGTGGAATCTTCATCAGGTGCACGTTGAGAAGCCGAGCAAAGATCATCACATCTTTGCGCCAGTGTCCAGAGAAGTCATCCCACAACAGGAGGACTGGCTC